GGGGGGGGGGAGCATCGGGCAGAGCCTGGGTGTTCCGGGTCCCCGCGGAACTGGTGTCAGGAAACCCTTCCACCTTTGTCCAATGCAACCACTAAGATGTGGAGAGGTCAGAGGCCTGGGGGGAGGGGCTGGACCCAGTGCCCCACCCCCACAGCTCGCTGTAACCCTGGCAACCGTGCAGTGTCCTGGAGCATTTAGGAGATCCGAGAGCAAGGGAGTCAGTTGGGGTGGGGTGCTGGGGTTTAGGGGCCCCTCCCAGCCAACATCGTTACTTTGATGATCTTTGGAAGAGTTTGGGAGACAACATTCATTCATTCATTCATTGCCAGATAGGACCCTCCATTCGGCCCTTCCTTCCATCCCCCACTTTGAGGGGGGCCACGGGAACCCGTATGCCAGCGCACGTCCCCTGGGGCGCCCCCTCACCTTCCAAACCTCTTCTCTGTACTGGTGCCTCCTCAGAGAATCCGGTGGGAGCTGCCAAGGGGCCCAGGGGACAGGAGGTGGGGGATGGCCCCGGGGTCTCCGCCAGCGGAAGGTGGGTGGATCCAGTGTTGCCTGAGGCCCCTCCCACCTCCACTGCAGGGGGGGGGGGCCTCCTCCACGACCCCCAGAGCCCAGCATTGTCCTGCAGCCCATATGTCGCCCTAGTCACGGGCTCAGGGACATCAGTGTTTTAATTTGTTTTTCTCAGGTTTTAGTTTGTATTTCTAGGACTTGCTTCCTCCTGAGCCCTCTTTGCAGGGTTTCTACCCTTTGCCCAGTTTTCTTGTTTGGGGGAAACTCCTGTTTTCTATCCATCAATCCACTATTGGTCTTCTCACTGTGAACTTTGCACGCGCTGCCCTTCACTGAACAGAAACCCCATTATAATCTATCAAATGAAAATCCGGTGCCTTTTAACTGTGTTTTGCTGTTTCGTTTAAGAATCCCTCGCCTGCTCCTCAGTCACAACCGTCATCAACCATATATTACATCTAAGTCACAGTCTTGTCATCAGGGGCGTTAGCTAGGGAAGCAGCTTTATTTTTCTCCTTAGAATGCGCCCAATGTCCCACGTCCTCCCCCAAAACAGCAGCCTTGCCCTTGGCTTGGGCGTTGCTGTCACCGTTCACCAGACGCCCAGGGTGCATGCGCCGCTCTCTTGAGCGTCCCCTTCAGTCTCTCCCTGTCTCCTGCCGGCACCACGCTGTGACGCTGTGGCTCTGTGGCACGTCTTAACATCCATTGGAGCAACTCGCTCCCTTCACTTTTCTGTTACAAGGTCAACTAGTACTTTGTGAATGTGAGCGTCATGGAGAATTGTAAAGCAGGTTTGCAGGTAACAATACCACCACCACCACCACAACCCTGGGCTTTTTTTAAAAGATTTTTTTTAATTGGGGAATTGGGGGGATGGGAACTGCGCTGGGGAATTGGGGGAAGGGGAACAGACAAGTTGCTGTCCTTTTGTTCTTCAGTCTAGTTATGGAGGACGTCGCTTCACTGGCCCAAGTTGGCACCATCATTGCGCTCTTCCCGGGAGAGGCAGATCAGTCGCCGGCTTCTGGACGGCCGCTCACGGCGGCTGCTGGCTACACACAGTAGCCCATGGCAACCCACTGCAGCAGGGGCTGCAGTCTAGTCGCTGGCAGCGACTCACAGCAGCCCAGCTCCAGGTTGAGCTGTTGTTCAGCATCTTAGCTGTAGAGGGCAGTGTCACTGGCCCCCATGTGGGATCCGAACTGGGGTCCTCTGGTGTGCCAAGCCAGCTCTTAACCATTGCTCCACTCTGCTGGCCCAACCCTGGGCTTTTGATCGGGAAGGATCAACAGCTTTATACTGTTAAGCCACCCACTCAAGGGCATGGACTTTCTCCATGTATTTCAGATCATCCATCATAAAGCTCTTTACCAGAGTTTTTAAGTGGTCCCCATAGAGGTCTTGTATAATGTTAGTTCATAAATACTTTATAGTTGATTTCTATTGTGAATGGAGCTTGATTTTTAAAAATTATATTCTCTAGTTGGTTATTTTTGTAAATAATGACAGCTGTTCCTTTTCCCTTTCCCACCTAACTCCTTTTACCTCTTCTCCTTTCCTTCTTGCATTGTCCAGGACCTCTACCCCTAAGGTAAACAAAAGTGCAAAAGTCGGTGTACTTGTTTTGTTCCCATGTCAAAGAGAAGGCGTGTCAGGTTTCTCCACTGAGTATAGTGTTTGCTGTAGGGTTTTGGTACATGAACTTTATTAAACTGTAGAAATTCTATTCTAATTTGCTAGAATTTTTTTTTTGAAAATCATAACTAGGTTGTTGGACTTTTTCAGTTCTTTTCTACATGGACTGAAATGAGATTTTTCTCCCCTCCTGTAGCCAGTTAATGATGTATTCTGAGATTGAACCATCTTTGCAAGACGGATGTCCTGGCACCATCCTGCAGGTGCACCTCAGTGTGCCATTTCTTCCAACGTCCCACTTCTTCAAGACCCTTGACTTCCCTGTCATAACATACTGATTTTCCCAGCACTAGACTCCACTGCCATGTGCTGGGACACCATTCTACATACTGCCGGGAAGTCCCCAGTCCTGCCTTCCTGCATTTCTGGGACATGAATCCTTTGATCACCATGGTTTATTTTTATTTTTATTGGGGAACAGTGTGTTTTTCCAGGACCCATCAGCTCCAAATCAAGTCGTTGTTTCAATCTAGTTGTGGAGGGTACATCTCAGTGGTCCATGTGGGGATCAAACTAGCAACCTTGGTGTTATGAGTGCTGCACTCTAACCAACTGAGCTAACCGGCCGCTCCGATCACCATGTATTTTAAAAATACACTGTTGGATCTAGTCAGCTAAGATTTTATTTAGGATTTTTGCATCTGTATTCATAAGTGAAATGAGCCTATAATTTTTCTTCTCTTGGATTGTCCTTCATCTGGTTTTGAAATCAAGATCGCACTGGCCTCATAAAACGGACTGGGCAATTTCTGTTCTTTTTTTCTGTTTTCCAGAGCAATTTCTGTAGAAAGAAATTGTTCCTTGAGAGGTTAGTATACTTTACCTGTAAAAACATTTGGGCTGGGGATTTTGAAAATAGGAGGTCTTCGAGTAACATTTTAATCTCTTTAATGCCTGCTGGTCTATTCAAATTCTCTATTGCTTCTGGTGTCAATAATGGCGTTTTAAATTTTTCTAGAATTTTATATATTCCATCCAGGTTTTCATGTTTGGCCCTCCTTTTGATTTCTTAAAATTTTCAATATCTGGATCTTCCCTTGACAAGCAAGTTCTGTAGTGTATGCCCCTGTCCTTTTGGTCTCCCCCTCCCTTATCACATTATAGTCGTAACTTTTAAAAAATGTAAAAAGTCAACAATAAGCTTTACCAAACCATCTCATCACCTTTACTTCCCATCTCTCTTCACAGCTTCTGGACTTCTTCCCTCCTTGCTTCCCCCAAGCCTGTTTCTGGGGTAGGTCTTTGTATGGGAACCGTTCTGACATCTTTTAGGCTTGAGGATATTTTTATTATGCTCTTGAATTTGAATGGAAGTTTGTCTGGATACAAAATTTTGATGGAAAGTTCTTTTCCTTTAGTATACAAAATATTCTATTGCCTTTTTGCATCGTGGTTGTTGCTGAGAAACCTGATTTCCGATTGTTTTTTCTTTCTTGGGTGATCTGTTCTTTCTCTCTGAAGCTTTTATAAATGTTCTCTGTGTCTTTGATATTCATAAGCATACTGTCACGCGTGTAAGTGTGACTTCCCTTATTTCCAGCGAGACCTTTCAATTTGAAGTTTCCCAGCTTTCCTTAAAGCTGGAAAATTCACCTTCATTGTTTCTTCTAATATTTTCTCTTCTCTCCCACCCCTTGTGTCTGAATTTTGACACTTTGACCTTGACCCTCCATCTCTCCCGATTTCTCTCTCTCAGTCCTCTCCTGCTATCTTCTGGAGAGCTTCTTACCAGGCACGCCTAAGTCACTAGGTGTTTTTCAGCTGGATCAATTCTCATGCTTATCTCACCTGCTGTGCTCTTCCTCTCAAGTATTATGTTTTTCATGATTTATGTATATTTTTTTCTTTGGTTCTTTTAAAAAATGAGTCCGTGCTTCACACTGCTAATACCTCCACTCTTCTTGAGGCATTCAGTGCCCATCTGTCCCCAAGGCTCGCCCTGGGGCCTGTGGGTGGGGCTGCCTTGCTGTCATGGTGCTGTACCCTCTGGTGTGAAGGGAGTTGGTCTATGACCTCACATCCCCCCAGGGGTCAGCCTTTTGGTCAGGTTCAGTGCTTGGAGACGGGCTAAGAGCAGGCCCTGCCCACCAAGTTGGGACGGGAGGGAGGCTGGGCCCTGGGTGGGTGGTCCCTGATGAGGCTGAACCTCTCATGACCCCTGCAATGAGTTGCTCCTCTGGCCCAGCACTCACCTCCATCCCGAGCCCTGGAGATCAAAAGAAGGGGTGAGGGGGGGAATCCTGGGGCTTGGAGGGGAGGGGTCTGTCAGTCCTCCCTCCCCTGGCCTTCCCGCTGCAGTATTTCCTCTGACCTCTGAGGCCAGGACTGTGGCTGGGCTTCTGTGGTAAGCCAGGTGCCCAAGCTGGAGGGGAGACCCGTGACACCAAGGTCTCCTATCCTCCCTGCCACCTCTGGCACCCCTTCTCCTCCCAACTGCAGCCTCCTCCTGTCCTTCACAAGGTTCAGGGCTGCCTTTACATTTCCCAGCGGCTTTGGGTTCCTGGAACCGGTGAGCCCTTGGCTCATACAGTTTTCTCAGGGGTGAAGGGGGGGGGGTGGGGAGGGGCAACAGCCCTGGCAAGTGTCACCCTGCCCCAAACTCTCCATGTTCCCAGGTCTCAGGGTAGGTCCTGCTCCCTTCGCCCTATTTGACCCTCAGCCAGGGCGAGGAGCCCCCAGGCGCTGACCTCACCGGCCTGCTCCCTTGGCCACGGTCTAAGTTCTCTTCCCAGGGACACGGAGGGGTGAGGGGTTGGTGAGCGCAAACTGGGACCTTCCGGCGCCCTGGACCACTGCGTGGCGCCGCCTCAGCCTGCGTTTCCTGCAGCTACTGCCGCTGGACGGGGAATTTATCCTGGACCCAGGAGCTGGATTCAGCGCCTCAGACACCAGCTCCGACCCAGACTGCAGCGCAGGTGAGAGGGCCGGGCCGGGCCGGGGGCGGGCTGGGGGCGGGGTCTGTGTGGGAGCGGCCTCGGAATGGAGGGCGTGTCTAGGGGGCGGGGACAGGTTGGAGGTTTGGAGTCTAGGGGAGGGACTTGGATGGGGCGTGCCCCAATGAGGGGACTGGACAGAGGGCAGGCATGGGGGCGGGGCGTTCCTTGTGGGCGGGGCCTGGGCAGAGGCCTGGTTCCCGCGGAGCTCAGGGACGCGGGCCGGCGCAGGTGCCCCGGCACTCTTCCTCGACCCCGACCGCTTCTCGTGGCACGACCCGCGCTTGTGGCGCTCCCGCGACGCGGCACACGGCCTCTTCTTTGTGGACGCCGAACGCGTGCCCTGCCGCCACGACGACGCCGTCTTCCCGCCCGACGCCTCTTTCCGGGTGGGCCTGGGCGCCGGCGCCGTGCGCGTGCGCAGCATCTGGGCTCTGGGCCAGGTGAGTGGGGCACGCGAAGTCGCGGCAGGGGCTGGGGGCTCCGCTCCGCGCCTCTGCCCTGGCAGCGCCGCTCCCACAGCGCCTGCCACCCGTGCAGTCCGGACACGTGGTTTCCGAGCCCTCCCGATGTTGTCTCCTTCTCGGGCTGGCTCCGCTGGCGACCCGGCCACCGCAGAAGTACACGGTCAACGAGGCCCTGACGGCTTTCCTGGAGTCCCGCGCCGGCCGCCTGCACTTCCACGGGCCCGGCGCGCTGAGCGTGGGCCCCGAGGCCTGCGCTGACCCGTCGGGCTGCGTCTGCGGCAACTCCGAGGTGAGCGCGGCCCGCAGTTGGGCAGCCTGGGCCCCGCGCGGCCATGGGCCCGGGACGCTCGCCCTCGGGGTGCAGGCCCCCCGCGCCCTCTCCACGCTGACCCGGCTTCCCGCTTCCAGGTGCAGCCGTGGATCTGCGCTGCCCTGCTGCAGCCTCTGGGCGGCCGTTGCCCCTCGGCCGCCTGCCACGACGCCCTCAGGCCCGAGGGGCAGTGCTGCGACCTCTGTGGTAAGCGTCCTCGCCTGGGTCCTGCGTGCTGGGACGGCCTGGCCATCCCTCAGCCCGTTTTCCTATGCGCCCCGGGCCCGCGGTGCAGACCCCTGCCCTCCTGCCGCAGGAGCCATCGTCTCGCTAACCCACGGCGCCGCCTTTGACCTGGAGCAGTTCCGCGCGCGGCTGCTGCGCGACTTCCTGGCTTTGGTAACGGGGCCGCGCGCCCACCCCGGGGCCCCACCCCGCCTCCTCATCGACGCGTCCATTCTCCGCCCGCCTGTCCACCATTTGGACCTGCCCCCAACCAACGTCCCCGCGGGTCGGAGGGGCCGAGTTCCTGGGCCGACCCTGTCCCCCTCCCCAGCCCCAGTACCAGGGCCTGCAAATAGCCGTATCCAAGGTGCCGCGCGCATCCCGGCCCCGCGACGGCACGGGCGCGGAGGCCGACACAGAGGTCCAGGTGGTGCTGGCGGAGACGGGGCCCGAGACGGGCGGCGCGGGGCGGCTGGCCAGGGCCATCCTGGCGGAGGTCGCCGAGCACGGTAACCGCCAGCGCCCCGCCGGGTCCCCACCCCTGTCCGGCCTCGCGCCGCCCGCGGGAGACTGAGCCCCGCCCTCCGTCGCAGGCGCGGCCCTCGGGGTCCTGGCTGCGACTGTCCGCGAGTCCGGCGCGCCTGTCGGGGGCGGTTCAGCGGCGGGGCTGGAAGGAACAGGGTCGCGCGCGGGCCTGGCGGGCGCGGTGACGGCCGCGCTACTCCTGCTGCTGCTGGCGACGTCCGCGGGGGCGCTGTGGCTGCACCGCTCGGGCAGGCTCAGGTGCGCCGAACGTCGGGGGCGGGGCCTCGGGGCGGGGCCCAGGTGCGCGGGGCGCGCGGGGCTCAGGAGCGTGCCCACCTGCAGGTGGAAGACGCGCGACGAGGCGGCCGTCGCGCCGGCCGGGGCGCCCCTGGGCTTTCACAACCCGATGTTCAACGTGGCGGGCTCCGTGGAGCTGGTGAGGGCGCTGCGGGGGCGGGGGTGCGGGCTGCCCCGCGGCGGGGCTTGGCACCCGACTCCCTCTGACCCTGCCCCGCTGCAGGGCCCGGCCCCGCAGGTGGACACCAGGAACACCAGCCAGAGTTACTTCGTTAATCCGCTGTTTGCAGAGGCCGAGGCCTGAGCGGCCGCGTGACACGCCCTTCCCCCACCCAGCCCTGCGGGACTCAGTGTTCCCTCCGCACCCTCCTCCCCCTCTCCCGGCAAGCACAGGGTGGCCTTGTCCAATAAAGGGGTTTCCAGAACCTGATGTCCGTGGGCACACCGCCTCTGTCCCCCATCCCTTGCCCACTTTGGTGGGAGCTGGGAGGGCCGCCGGCCAGGCCCCCATGGGTCACAGTCGGGACGGGAGGGGTGGTCCTCAGCCCGTCCCCAGAGGCCTCCTGGCCAGCCGCTGAGGGCAGCCCTGACCACTGTTGGTTGGCTGCACCTGCAGGCTTTCTGTCTGGCCTTGGAAGAGCCCTTGGAAGGGAAAAGGGAGGTTGAGGCACTGGTGAGGGTGGAGAAAGGTGGGCTGCGGCTGCCTCCCACCCCCTCACCCCCCACTCCAAGCGGTTCAGGCCCAAGCTGCAGGGGACAGGGACAAGGCCCGGGGCTGCCAGGGGGACATGACATCCACCAGACTGGACAGACTGGGCTGCTCAAGAGTGGGGTCCCAGGAACACTGTCTTGCAGGGACAGGGTGGGGTGGGCTGATCCTTTCTGCTACGGAGGGGAGGCAGTTGTCCCCATACAGTGGTGGCGCCTGGGAAGATTGCTGGCAGGTGGCAGCCTGCTGCTGGGTGGGGTGCTGGGTTTCCTTCACTGCAAGACCAGGCCTTGTCCTGACCTGTGGGGTGGGTGCCAGGGCTGAGCAGCCCCAAGAAGGACACCCAGCCAGCACCAGACAGGGCAGCAGTGCGAAGGCGCCCGCTCGGCTGTGATGTGTGAAGCTCTAGTGCCAAGTGCCCAGCTTGAACTCTCACAAAGCGACCTTTCTGTGTAACCAGCATCTGGGTCTGGAAACACCGCCAGCCACAGCCCAACCACTCTGCTGGCTTCTGACTGGATTCGTTTTTAAAAGCCCATCACCAGAGCCACACTCTGTGGCCAGCACCTGTCTGTGATGCCATCCCATGGCTGTGTGGTTGTCACTAGGTGCTGTGTAGCGTTTCATGTGTGACCACTACCATTCATTGTGCTACAATAGCTCATATTTCATCTTAAAAAAATGGCTGACACTTGAGCATGTTTCAGACCCATGACAGGTGTCCTGGCCTCGTGCAGCACAGGCATCAAACTGGGGGCCAAGACCTAACCCATCTGACCCCCGAAGCCTGGCTGCCTACAGCCCCTCCCCCCACACCCCTCCATGCTCATTGTTGCTTTCCCAGTTGCTGCGATTTCACTCAGGTGTTTCTGAAAGGCTATACCTGTGCCTTGTGTGGTCTCTGCTGCTCCAAGGCTGCTTTAGCGGGCACGTGGTAAGACTGCCATCTGTCCCTTGGGAGGTCAGGGCTGTTGTGACTTGCCCAGACAATGGGAATGGCTGGAATGGGAACCCCTTCTGGGCGGATCTTTGCAGTCAGCACTCCTGGAACTTGTCCCAGTCTTTCCCCACTGTGCCCACGGAGGCCCCAGTGAGGTGGGTCTTGGTCCTGACTGCGCTGGTCCCCCGGGGTCGGGCCATGCTAACTGGCACAGAGCCTCAGGGACAGTGCCAGGCGCTCACTGGCTGTTCCCGGCACTTCACTGTGTCCTCACCCCACCCTCTTGGGTAGGTCCTATCACTGCTCTCACTTTACCAAGAACTTACTGAGGGTGTCAGCAGGGCAACTATAACCCACCCCACCACAGGCTGTCCCTGCCCATCAGGACCAGAGCTCCAGTGTGGCCGCCCACCCAGCCTGGCCCGTCCTGTCCCCTAGGGCTGCTGAGGGACCAGTGTGCATGCATGTGCACAGGGTTCCCTGCTGCTGACGGGGGCCCCTTCTGCACTGCTTCCCCACGAGGCCTTCCCCCACCCCTCGACACCTTTGCAGGTGACAGGTCCCAGTTCCGGAGGCCAGTCCTGCCCCATGGGCACAGATGCCTTTTGCGTGACCCCTGAGTGAATGACCAAGAACAGCTCCTGCAAGCAAGATGGCTTTTGGGTAGGCATTTCCAGCACAGGGCAACACTGGGGGTGCCCAGACACATTTGGGGTGACAGGTCACTACATTCAGACAAACCACTGAGAACTTTAAAACTGCCGTCGTCTGCTTTATTGACAGGTAAATTATTCAAAAATGTTCTCACGATTCAATAATTACAAAGACTCAGACTTACATTAAAAAAGTAAAAACCAGAACCCCCAGCAGGTGCCAGCCCCAGCAGAAGGCCCAGGGGCCGGATGGGTGGGCAGGTGCTGGGTGTGTGACACCCACAGGCAGGCCGGCAGTGCCCACGTCACTCAGTGCCGACTCAAGGTAAGTGCACGTCTGAAACAGCATCTCCGAGAATGTCAACCAGCAGGAGAGCAGGGAAGACCTGTCCTGGGCCGAGGACAAGCTGTGTGTGCTGGCCTTTAATGAGACAGGCCACAGACCTGACTACTTGCGTGTGACACAGGAAGGGTGAGAGTAAATACAGGGGGAGCGTCACCGTGCCGCGGGCAGGGCAGGGCAGCCTGCACAGCACTAATCATGGGGCTCTGGTCTCCTCGGCCCAGCAGGCCTGGGGAGTGGCTACGCGACACCCCTGCTTTTATGGCAGGAGACAGAAGCTGTGGAAGCAAGTGGGAGACAGAGCACAGCTGACTTCACAGTAGTAGATACTGGTGACACTTCATGATTGTGACCGGGAATGGACTAACACGCAGGGACCCAGGGCAGGGTGGGCGACACTTGGAATGGGCCTCTGTCTGTGGCTACAAGGTCGGCAGAAGGACTTCTGCAGCTGACTATGTAATGGCTAAACGAATAAAGGCCACAAACTAACCTCCACTTTCCTCTGTCTTCAAAATTCTAGGGACACTGGGAATGACATACGACTTCCTACTATTTTCTTATGGTCCTAGGAACGTTTCAGGAAAGAGGGAACAGACTCGTTACTGAGGCGTCCGAGCTGCCTGCTTCCTGAGCAGAGCCGCCCGCGCCTCAGCTTGTTCTGGGCGCGAGAAGCTGTGTGCTGGTCCTTCATGTGCAAACGGAAGTGTCGCCTCACAGCTGTGCAGACGAAGGATCTGGTCAACTGCCACAAACACCGCGGCATAAAACTGATAATTATTATAATAAAGATTTTTCTTCATCTCCATATCTACAAGTGGATTCTACATTTCCTTGGACAACACTGGAGGGTCAGTCAGCTCAGTCTTGGCACTGGTGTTGGAGGCCACCCCCGGCTACCTGGCCCATGACAGCGCGGCGCTAGGCAGGGGCTTCAGGCGTCATAGGCCGGCTGCTCCAGGCCTTCGAGCGGAAGCTGGCTCCTGTGCGGGGAATTGGGGCTCGGCGGGCCGCTGGGGTTGGAGCTGTTGGACGGAGTCGAGTGTTTGGTGGAATCTGAATCAGGCTGTCAACACACAGAAGGGGGACAGCGTGAGGACCCACGGCCCTGGGACTGCTGCCCAGCCCCACGTGGGTGTCTGTGGGGGACACGTGGCAATTGCTCTCTCCTTTTTTGTTATGAGAGCACACACTGGCCCTTGGGCTCGCTGGTGAGAGGCCATTAACCCAGGCCCAAGCCCATAAAAGACTTAGTAACAACTACGGAGAGAAATGAACAGCCCTGCAGCGGGGAAACCGACAGCAGCACAACCAAGTGGTCACAGGTCACAGGCGTGACATGCTTTCAAGATAAAAGCACCAGGAAGAGAAACTTTCTCAACATGACAAAGGTGTCCATGAAGAATCCACAGCTAATTTCACCCTCGATGGTGAAAGACAGAGCCTTCGCTAAGACTAGGAACAAACAAGGATGCTGCTTTCACTGCTGCCATTCCATACCGCAGAAGTCCTCACCTGAGCAGTCAGGCAAGAAAAAGAAACAGGCATCAACGCTGGAAAAGAAGTCAAGTCATCTCTGTTCACAGATGACAGGATTCTATAGATAGAAAATCCCAAAGACCGCACTAAAAAACAAATTCAGCAAAGCTGCAGATTATAAGATCAACACACAAAAATCAGCTGTGTTTCTATTCACCAGCAATGAACAATCTGAAAAGGAAATTAAGAAAATAATTCCATTTACAGTAGCATCCAAAAGAATAAAACAGGAATAAATTTAACCTAGAAGCTGAAAGATTTGTTCACTAAAACTACAAAACACTGCTGGAAAGACATTAAAGAAAATATAAATAAACAGAAAGACACTCCATGTTCATGGACTGGAAGACTAAATATTGTTAAGCTGGCAATACCCCCGCTGATGTACAGATTCAATGCAATCCCTACTGAAATTCCAATGGCTTTTTCCTTTTCCTTTATTTTTCCTCCCAGAAATGAAAAAGCCAATCCTAAAATTTATATGGAATTGCAAGGGGCCCAGAATAGTCATAACAATATTAAGAAAAAGTCGGACTCACACTTTGCAAAGTTACTACTTGAAAATGTACTTATACAGCAACATAATCCAGACAGCGTGGCATATACCAGCACAATGACCAGTGGAACAGCACTGAGAGTCCAGAGATACATCTGTATCCTACGGTCAACTGATTTTCAACAAAGGCACCAAGACTGGGGAAAGAAGCATCTTCAACAAATGGTGCTGGCTGCCCACACGCATATACAAACATCAACTCACACCAGATGCAAAAGAGCCACCAGGCTCGGGCAGTGAAGGCAGGTCTGTGAGCCCTCCAGGAAGGATGGCTCTGCCTGTATGACGGCAGAGCCGAGGCTGGCACAGCCGGAATACACAGCTGGCCAAGGACAGCACAGAAGAAGGCAGGCACAGGTCACCATGACGACTGACACACATGCAGAAGTTGTCAACAAATGTTCACAAGCTGAATCTATCGTGTACTGAATAGGAATACCACATCACGACCAAGGAGAACTTTATTCTCAGAGTACAAGGAAATCCGCTCTGACATACGTATGACATTAACAGGCCGGAGAAAAAACAGATGCGAGTCACTTTGGAAAAAACATCAAAAGGCATCCGATTCATATCCACCCCCCGCCCTTATTGAAAACCCTTCCCAAGCAAGGAAGAGACACTTCTGGTGCCAGGTGCAAGGTGTCTGCCAGAAGCCACGGTTGCACCATCCTCGGAGGAGACCTGGCCAGAGCAGAGCCTGTGGCAGCGGGGTTCAAATCCCCAGCACTCGGGACCGGGGAGCTGTACGGAGAGGCAACACTCACACACCACAAACACCAGCATCAAAGAAACAAAACTCCAGGACCATGAACTGATCACCAGAACCAATCAGAACTCAGAACATTGCCATCACCAGCTTGCAGAGACACCTGCCATAAGCACCAAATACGTAACAGTAGATTCTATTCTACTCACAGTGGCAAGAAAAACCTTAGAATTCTGAAGCGTAAACTTATTAACCACAAACACACACGACCTGTAGGAGAGAATCCATCGGCTTGAGATGCTCTATGTCTCTGCGCAGGAAAGTCACGATGATGAAGACCCCCAATTTAATCCATCAGTTCAACATACTCCCAGTTTTTGCTTTTTTATTAGAGAGCCAATAACCTGGTTTAAAGTTTATTTGAAGGAGAAAATAAAAATAGTTGAAAAACTGTTGAAAAGTGAAATCAGAGACCTAACTGCCAGACCTCGGGCCACAGGTGTGCTGGTGGAGGAGAGCAGCCGGCCTCTGTGGGGCAGAGGGTGCAGCGGAGGGACGTGCACACAGGGAAGTTATCACAAAGGGAAGACGATTTCAAGTTGGAGGGAGTAAGTGGCAAAGGCTAGTGTGCCCTCCATTTACAAAGGAAGCAGCTCAGGACCTTGCCAACACACACACACATTTATAAACAGTCTCTCACAGTCACACACATAAACACACAGTTACAGCTATACACACTCTACACACTCAGTCATACATACTGTCGCATACCCACACACACACACACAATCATACCCAGTAATGTACTCACACACTCACAGTCACACACTTATACACATACAGTCATGCATAGTTGCACATGCACTCAGTCACACACACACACACACACACACACACAGAGTAACACACACTCACACAGACCACAGAGAACTGTTGCCTATCTTAACTGAAAAAGATAAACAGACTGGACTGCATAAAAATGAAAACTTCTGTATGACAAAACACCCTTAAAATGAAAAGTTAAATTATGAGAGAAAGTGCCTGCGACAGACAACACCCCAGGCTACACAGAGTCCCTGTGAGTCAGTAAGGACAGCCCTCGCGAGGCTGGACCTCGGAGGAAGCAAGGCCAGTCCACGCTGGAACAGATGGGCAACCACGGTAAGAACCGGACTGTGAAACGAAACGTCAGCCCAGCTGCTGCGGAGCCACTGTGCGTGCCGGGCCGCGGGCAGAGCGGCTGGCTCCGGCCTCCCTCCTACACAAGTGCCCATGGGCACAAAGACCCACACTCACTTTCACCTGCCCTCAGTGCCAGACGTTTCTCTCCTCACAGCCCCGCACACAGGAGCATCCTAACTCCATTTCACACAGGGGAAACCGAGGCACAGAGGCTGGGGCAGGGTCTGGAACACCCAGGAACCCAGAGCCCAGGTGGTTCCCCAGGCCAGCCCCCCAACGGCCATCAGCGGAGGAGGGAGAGGCCAACACGGGAGGCTCTCGAAAACACAGGGGGCTACCTGTGCTTTACAAAGGGGGCACCTCCGGGAATGTGACACCTAGGTATGGACCCCTGCACAGAGAGTCTAGAAGGGAAGGCTGGGTGGACTCTTCTCAGGAAGGCTTTCGTTTCTGTCGTGCAGGGACAGCCCCGCGGCCCCTCCATGCTCAGGTGCTCTCGGCAGCTCTCCCGGGGTTGGCCTGGCCTCAGGGGGACAAGGGAGCGGAGCCTGCAAGGAGGCCTAACAAAGGCCTGTGCTGCTCAGACAGGGACGTTCGCGCCTTCCTCCCGACAGGCTCACAGCCAGAGCCCACGTCATCCTGTCACCAGACAGGTCTCACCTCTTTGTCAAAGTCCTGGTCAGGATCGGACATGCTTCTCAGAGGCACCGCCACTCCAGGCTCAGATCCACCTAGAGCACAAGGACGGCCGTCATCTTAGGGACAGTCGGAGCCGAAAGGAAAGCCTGGAGTCCCAGCCTCCCGGACCCGCCCTTGGCGCCCTCGGTACCTGACGATGGCCACGAGATATAGGGTTTGCTCCTGGGTGGAGGCTGCCGGGACAGGCTGGTGGGAGTGGGGCCAGGCCTTTCCTCCTGGGAGGGGGGCACAGCGCTCTGTGCGAAGAGAACAGCCCGTGAGTGCATGGTGCGACATGGCTGGGAACGCAGGCAGAGTCCCCCGGGGCCCTGGGACCTCGATGGGCAAAATAGTGGGGAGGCTGAATGCACAGCTCAGTTACAAGCTAAGAACTGGCAATAGCAATTGTAGACCAAGGTGAATCCTATAGGAAACCCACTTTTTAAAGTGAAAAAGGACAACTGTGTTACCTGCTCACACTAAGATGTTACTTAGAAATCAGTGCTCACAGCTAGTTACCCCATGACACAGGGGGGACGGGCCCAGCTCCCAGGGCCAGAAGGGGCGGCCTTGGCCACCGACCGCCCCGTGGCTGGGAGTTCCATCAGGGACTGCGTGCCAGGTGCTCGCGGGGCGGCCCAGCACAGGGGTGAAGCGAGCGCTGGCAGACGCGCCTAGGACTCACCAGTGGCAGGTCCATGAGCACCTGCATCCCGTCGCCGGGGCCCATGTGGGCCACGTGGTTGAAGTTGGTGGGGTTGGAAATCATTTTGGATCTCAGCTCTGGGTCTCTAAGCATCTCCCTGGGGAAAAGAAAATCGTTTTGCGATGCAGAGCACGTCAACCCTCCGGCTCTGACCGCGTGGCAGCCCGCATGCAGGCCGCTGGCCCGGCTCTCACCGCCGCTGCTGTAGCCGCTCCTCCTCCGGCACCTTGAACACAAACCGCCTCTTGCTTCTTGTCCGAAGCATCTGCTTCTTGCTGTTGTCAGAGGTGTCAGGCACGTTGAGAACTGCTCCTGCAGGAACGAGGCCCGCAGTTAGCGTGGCTCTCAGGCTGTGCCACGTGGGACGGACGGGGACACAGGCTGTGACACCTGCTGAGAAAGGCTCACCTGAGAACTTGCTCTTGAAGTAGATCAAGCGGGGAGGCTCGCAGTTGAGGAGGTTGAGGGTGCCTTCCGAGTTCAGTGGCCGTATCTGTGGGGAACCAGAGAGGGATGGTAGGTAGCCGCACGGCCGGCGCACAGTGCGGGGAGCGGCCTCCCACCCCAGGCCTTACCCTCCGCAGGCCGATGGTCTGAACCCACTCCATGGTGTGCACGTCAAAGACGTCCACGCCGTACTCGCTGTACACTGTGACGTGCGACGGGCTGCAACCTGGCAGACGGAGCAGAGCAAGGTGAGCGGCTGCAACCCCGGGCCTGGCACGTCCCATCCCTAGGGCAGCGCGAGGCCACCACAAGTGCAGAGGGCACCCCGGCCTTGGCTCGGGCAGTGACAGGTAGGGCCAGTGGCAGATAACTGCCCACTCCCACTCCAGAGCGAACCTTCACTTTCAAGTTCAGACCCAACAACCACAGCATTCCTGTAACTCAGGGCACTGGGAACCTCACGGCAGGTGCCGAAGGGGACTTTTTATGTTCCTGTCTCATGTAGCTTTTTATGTGGTCACCACAAAGGCTTCAGGCTCAACACATCTGAAATCAGGGGTGGGGAGTGGGGGCAATGTTCTGTTTTGTGAAACAAATTCCTTCTGTAAGAGATACCAAGAAGTCAGCTTTCTGGGTAATGTTTAAACTGCACACAAAAACTACTGCTTAGCTCTAGGGCAACAACCGGCCATCCACGCACCACACTAACACCCGGTTTCTACGGAACTGGTCCTCTGGAACCTTTTCAGACATCCCTGTGTCGTCTGAACACATGCGCATGACACTCACTCTTCCAGCAGTGAGCTCTGGAGTCCTTCCCTTCTCGTTCTAAGTGAAGTTATCGTCAAGGGGGACAGAAAACCCACCTGGCATACCAAAGACATGACACCATGGACCGCCGGCCCATCTGGCATGTGAAGTTTAAGGGGACTTTCCCCGTGTTTCAAACAGCAGTAAAAAAACACGTGACAAATCAGCAGTGTCTGCTGCTCCGCACACCCTGCCAGGACAGTGAGGCCAGAGGCCGAGGTGCACTGACCTGTCACACCCAACCTCGCCTGTCTGTCACCAGGTGTTCCCAGCACCACCCAACCTCGCCCGGCTGTCACCAGGTGTCTCCGGCACCACCCTGCACCGCCCAGCTGTCACCAGGTGTCCCTGGCACCACCCTGCAGGGCTCTGTAGATGGTTCCAGCTCGGCCCTTTTTTCCTGGTCCGTGACCTCCACGGTTACAGTGAATGTTTATCATGCCACCCTTCTCTAACTGAAGAGAACGTCTAAAACCTGCTGTGTTGCTATTATGTTCCAAAGGGGCTGCATGGCAGCCTTTTTCTTTGGAACACACACACACAAAAAACCCCACCAGGGTTTAGGAAGCAGACAGAAGATGCTGGAACCAGTCACCAAACTGTCTCAGCGGTGACAGCTCAGATAAAACACGAGGCCCTCTTTTTGAGTGCCACATGCAAGACAGACGTCCGAGACCCCGAGGGCCCTGAATGAGCCTTCCGAGGCCCCTCTCCACACGGGCCCTTCATTGCAAGGAGCCCGGAAGAGACCTTTGTGTGGGGCTGATCTGCTGGCGGATGGTCAGCGGAGAAGTCCAGGCCAAAGAAAATGTGGAGAGAACACGGGTGGTGCAGTCTGCCAGGTCCGAGCCTGGCCCACTTCTGCCACGTGCTTATCAAGTCATCTCGGCTCTGGCCCTCAGTGTCCTCCTGGGTGACGTGGCAAGGGTTACGCCTCCCCACAGGGCTGGGATGACAGGAGTATTCCACCAGCTCTAAAGCTGAGCCGGTATCTGCCCTGTGCGTGGGGGGAATAAGACTCGAGGTGGAGGGACAGTGGGAATCAGAGGACCGAGAACATCAGGTGTGCACGCAGCTCACATATGGCCGAGCCTAGAGACCGTGCACTAGTGACCTGCGTCCCCTTCCACGTTACGTATTTCAAAAAAGTGTGAGTTCTAGAGGAAAAGAACTGCTAAGCAGGGACCCGTGTGGTTGAGGCCGTTCCTGTACCGTACGGCTAGGTGGAGGCAGGACAAGTGTCACTACCGCGGCCATGTTGCCTTCTCCACAGCTCTGGGCCGCCCACTTGCGCCCCAGCCCTGGCCAAGCACCGATGGGTCAGCAGACACCCAGCAGGTCCCCGAGAGCCAGCAGTGGGCAATACATCTCACAGGCCTGGGCTCTGGGTCCCAACGCCCCTGGGTTTTTTCTCTGCAAGCTACGCAAAGCCAGCATCAGGGCAGATGAAGGTTGTGCTTCTGGCAACGATGCCCCTCATACAACCATCACCCCAGCCCCGCCGCTCAAATGAAAGTGTCCCTGTGACTCGTCGAATTGCTCCCTGATCTGTCCGACCTGCTGGTTCGACAGGCTGTGTAGATACGCACAGCAGTGGGCTCTGAGGCTTAGGGTCCGACAGCAGGCCGGGCGGGATGTGACCCTGATGGGGACCGAGAGACCCATCCGGAGCTGTAAAGGAGAGGCTGGTGCAAGGCACACGCTGTGGCTGCATCCTTAGCAAGGCTGGTGCATAGGAGGTTTCCCGCAGGTGGTTTTGATACATTGGGTATTAAACATCTTGAGTCCGACACATTGGTTGCTAACAACCTGCAGCTGACGCACCAGAAGTTCCCTGCCCAAGGCTCTCTCTTCCCCTGTCCTGCTCCCGCATAAACAAGGCTATGTAAGTAAAGCACCGCTGCTAGACTGGGTCACTGTCCTCCCATCAGGAGACAGCTGTCCACCTAGCCCCCACTTTTAAGTATTTCTTTGTCTTTCTTAATCCTCCGTCGCCCCCACTCTGGCCCATTCGACTAGCCGCGCTGGACGGCATGACCTCATGGAATCCAGACCGCAGGGGCCCTGCTCACCGCGCTCCCGGGCCTGCAGGCTGTCTGCTCAGCCCCAGCGCTCACACACACACAGCCACCTCAACGAAGCAAACTAAGTAACTCAGCTTTTCCAGAAGAGCTCCTGCCTCTCTCAGGAAAGCATGTGTCTCAAGACAGACTGCGACCTACACATCAGAACCACGTTCCTCCTGCCGCCCTAAGAGCTGCAGCTCGTCTATGTTCCTGTGTCCGCCTGTGAGTTAGTGCCGTTGGAGCTCCTCAGCTGAAGGGGCCCCTGCAAAGCTCTGGGGGGGAGGTGGCACCGGTGGGCAGCAGGAGGGCTCGAGAGGGAGGCAGGCCTGGGGCCCGCCTGCCACCCACCCACTGCTGGCCGAGACATGGCATTGGGACCGTCCACGGCAGAAACCGCGGAGCCCCTCTCCTGGCAGCCGGCTCCTTGGCTGGGGGAACTGGGAGCCAAACCAAAGCAAAACAGGACACGTGCTGACTGTCGACGTGAGAAGCAGCACAGGGCACGGCAACAGAGAACATATACATACTACAGGCGACGGGCACCGCGGGCCACATGAGCTCCTGCACGCGTGACCTCCGGCCCTGCGGGTCCACGTACAGTCCCATGTGACTGAAGCAGAGCAGGTATTCCTCGCTCGGGAGCTCCACAGCACACAGGGCATCGAAAGGCTGCTGGGAGAGGAACGCAAGCGAGGGCTCACTGGGATTTACCAGGGTGAGAGCCTGCCCGTCTCCCTGCGTGCTCAGCAGAGAGAACCCAGAAGGGTAGCCAACACAGAGCTTGTCCTTGACCGCGGCCATCCACTGCACAGTGCCAGGGGCCACAATCTCATTGAACTTCCTGTGGAAAGGCTTAGTTCTCTGAGCCTCATAGCAAAGGACCAGCCTCTTCACTGCCACAAACAGGCAGGTGGCCGAGCTCTTCTTCAGTGTCGCAGTCGCTATGAGCTGGCAACCCTTCGTTTCCGGAAGCTTGATGTCAACGTTGCTTTCCGCCCCGTCAAAGGCAGACCACGGGCAGAGATGGACGTGGTGGTTCCGGCCGCAGAGCAGGACGGCAACCTTCTCTTTGGGGGCAAGCTCAATCTGGTACACTTTCTTGTAGTCAGCAACACGGACAATCACTGTGGAGGGGAGGACTGGGCGTGAGGCCGACAGCAGGGACTGGACACGTCACAGCCCGACCAGGGACGGCTGCTCAGGACCCTCCTCTCCACGCCTTTCCCACTGCAGCAGGCCTGGGGCCGTCACCCTTCCGCATCTGCCCCGACACCCCACACACCCTAGCAGCCCAGGGCCCTGGCTGGGACGTGCTTAGTACAGTGTGGCTCTGGGGATGGGCCTAGACCTCCTTCCAGCTCATCCCAGAAGCCAAGAACCCTTGAGTTGCATTTGAGGAACGAAGGACTGTCTCCCAAGGTCACTGGATCCTTAATACAATCTCAGAAGCACTTGCCCCCGCCCTGGGCCTTCAAATGAACCCAACACCCCGATGTTCTAACTCTCTGGACCAGCAGGATGGATCCCGTGAGATGAACAGCCGAGGGCTGGCCCACAGCAGCCACCTGAGGCCGCACGTGTGCACCTTCCTCCAGGGGCCCAGTGTGCGGAGACACCGGCTGTCAGGGATGCCGCCACCAGGGAACAGCCATGTGCCTTGGGGAGGTTCCCAGGGTCAGTCCCAGGCTCCTTGCGCTTCTGTCCCCAGACCCAGGCAGTGAAGAGGGGAGGCGTGAGAATGAAATGTCAAAATTAAAAGCAAAGGAAGGAATGTTTCAGCGAGGTCTCTGTGCACCTGGGAATTAGGCAGACAAGCTCCCTGCCCCTCCTAGGAAGCCCCCCTGCCCGGCTGTCCCCTCAATCCTCAACTTGAGGAGACTAATGACACCGCAGCCGACCCACCACCATGCCCTTGTCCTCAGTCTGACAGACCCGTGGACACTCAATGGACATTACGTTTGTCGAGCGTCAGTCTTATTTGTTGCAAATTATTCTTCTTGGCTGTTGCCTTTCCCTCTCTTTATCAAGTTCTCTGACGTGGTGACAGTTTACACGTCCAGTGAATTCGTCTTAACCCTTGCATGTTCCTAACTGATGCTGCGCTCATGGGCACTGACCAGGCAGGTCCCGAGCGGTCGCGACCCACTCACCGTCTCGGTTCACCTCTATGACATAGAGCCCTTCTTCCAGGCCGACTACAATCCTGTCGCCATCTGTGGAGGCAGAAGGGGCAAGAACACAAACGTCAGTCTGTCCCTCAGTCTGCTGCAATGTTCAGGGACCATCGCACCTTTTGAAACCCCCGCCCCCGGCAGCCTCTGGGACGCACCCAGGACGGCGGCTGTCAGGACGGCCTTGATGAGTGGCAGCGAGCTGTCATAGGCCTCCTGCGGCACGTGCACCACCTGGTTCCTCAGGCGGTTCTTGTGAAGGATAGACTGCAGTCCCTCTAGAATCCCCACCCACTTCCTCTTTTCGTTCTCGTTTTCTGTCAGAATGAGCAGTGAGCTGGTCTTAGAAGGTGTACCTAAGAGAGAGGCTGTCACCTTCGTGACAGAAAACAAAAGAGGTAAGAGCCCTAAGACAACCAAACCACACCACACAGACACCCACCCCCAGCCTGGACGCCATTCACACTAGAGGTAAAGAACAGGAAGGATGTGCTTCCTGGGGTTTGACTTAAGGGTGACCGTGAGGGTTAAGGTCTCAATGCCGAGTTGCAGGTCCGTGTGGAGGGGCCCGCAGAGGCTGAGGGCTCCTCTGTGCAGTTATATAAACAGGCGCCCTGCATCCCTTGTCAGATTTCAGTTCATTCTGCTCTTGCCCAAACTGCTGTAACTGTCCATTTCAAAACTGCTTTCTTAAACGGTCTCATTGAAAAAGATTCTTAGAACACGTGCAGAGCCAACAGGCTCTCCAACAAAAACACGGCCCAAGCACGCTTCCATGAGCATTCCCTATGCGCGAGGAGGCCTGGGCAGCTTTAGCTGCTACGCAAGGGTCTTTTAAGCTCACAATGATGGCAATTTTTTGTATTGTGTACAAGAGGTGCTTTCTGATAGACCTGTGACTTAATGAAAATGATTCACAGGCTTAGTTTTTTGGTCAACCGAAGTGGTTCTGTATTTATAAGACTTCCCAGTGAAGGGAGTTGGGGGGAGTCTTCCCCCAACCCACAACCTCCTAGAAGCTTCCTAATGTCACAGCACCTAGACTGACCCGTGGGGGCTCTCCACCTCAGCCAGCAAGAAGGCTGGTGAGCAATGTCTGCTGCTTTATTCCTGTTTGGCTCCAGTCCACGACCAGGAAATCCTAGGGAGGGAGGTGGAAGCTTCCAGCATTAAGCACACTACAGTGACTAAGATGCAGACCAGGCAGGACGCAGGGGGTAGGGGCAGGGCCAGTGACATGGGCAGACGGGGCTGCTGCTTGACAAGGGTGGTGAGGCGGGGCGGGCCCGCTCGACGTGAGCGGAGTATGGATGAGCACCAGCCCCTCCATGGCACACTGACATGCTCAGAGCAATCCTTTCACTTTAACCATGTGCCTTGTTTCACGATTAATGAGTGTCTCTAACAAATAGCAAAAAACCATACCCTGAATATACATGGAATATCTCGGCGCGAAGCATGTATGACATCTGAGGCCAGGACTGAGCTCACCGAGAACTCTTCATCTCTGTAAGAAACAGATCATTCAGACAACTGGGGAAGAAACACACACTAAGAGCCCTATCCTCCACCCTCCTGTATTCCAAATACTTTCATGACTATTTTCCCGAATATGGGGTAGGCCCCTTGCCTCTACCTGGTGAAGAAAACGCTTCCACTGACAAAGCCAACGAACGACTCAAGAATCTCGCATGTGTTTCAAAGATCAGGGGTGTCTGAGGACAGAGGCCCCTTCTAGCCCATCCCCGTTACCGACAAGACCACCCCCCTGAGAAGCCTGTACTTGGCTATAGTCAGGCAGGTGCCTGGCCACCACTTTTAGGGGAGAGGATAAGACGTGGAAGCCCCATCTCCAATACGTTCTAAACCCTGGGCTCTACGTTCAACACCATCACCCGTGACGCCCGCAGCGGCCTCTTCATCACCTGTGCAGGGCACACCTGTGCACAGCAAGTGACAAGCAGGGTCACCGGGGCACTTTCCAAAACGCAGGTCCCCAGTTGTTCATGCCAGCCCATGGGCTGGGGACATGGAAAGTGGAAACCATTGTGGAGGTGACTCGGCTCACAGCTGTCTTTCAATTGCACCTGCCAGAGCACCCCTTGTACCCCCAGAGCCAGTGCTGGAGACTGAGGCTCCAGGCCCGGCCTTAGCCCTCGGCAGGTGCCAGCACGTTCATGACATCCCCCCACAGGTGCCATCCTGTGAAACACTGGGAGTGGGTGACAGAGGGACGGGAGATGACCTGGCAGCAGCAGCAACAGCTCTACACGCCAGGCCCTGTGCTAAGTGCATCCCGTCGATTAACTTTTTAAATTTTACAACAACCCTCCGACCTCCCTAACATCATTATTGTGTCCATTTTACAATGGGAAGCAGAGTGTTAGGCCTGAACTGTAAGAGAAGCCGGGAAGGAAGGGAGGGAGCAAGGGAAGAAGGAAGGAAGGAAGAAAGGGAGGGAGGGAGGGAGGGAGAGAAGGAGGAAGGGAAGGAGGGAGGAAGGCGTACTGCTGTCTTGGAACGTTTGATGCTAGGAAGGAATCTGACGAGGATGGAAGTGATAAGAGATGCTGTTGTACAACAAATGTTAGGGCCACACACAGCCCAGGGCTCTAGATTTTTGTCGCAAACAAGAGAACGTGTCAGGCACTAAAAAGCAGACATTAGAATATGCAATGTGTCTCTGGGATATTTTCTAATTGTTCTTGGGGCATGTTGTTTTCCTACATTAAATGCTTATTTAGCACATTTTCCAGTGCAAAAATATCCAAAGCAGGAAGTTTCTGGCACGTACTTACGAGGTGTGATCAAACAATACGGTGACTGTTTAAATAAAAAAAAACATTACAGTAAAAGACACACTGCCATTAATCCCCCTCAGAATACTCCCCTCACTTCAAACACACTTATCCCATCATTCTTGCCACTTTCTGAAGCAGTTTTGGAAGTCCTCTTTCGTGAGTCTTTAGTTGCACTGTCATGGCTGCCTCGATGTCCTGAATCATTTTGACTTTGGGGAAGAGCCAGAAGTCACACGGTGCCAGATCCGGTGAATAAGGTGGATGAGGACACACCGTAATGTTTTTATTGGACAGAAATTGCTGTATTAGAAGCAATGTGTGACACGGAGCACTGTCATGAAGTAAAGACACTCAAAAAAAGAGGGCTTCCAGAACTGCTTCAGAAAGTGGCAAGAACGATGGGATAAGTGTGTTCAAGGTGAAGGGGAGTATTTTGAGGGGGGTTAATAGCAATGTGTTCTTTACTGTAATAAATTTTATTTAAACATTCACTGTATTTTTTTTATCACACCTTGTAAGTGCCTGTTTTTGGAACGGCACAATAATTAAGGATGTAAAGGCATAAATGAGGCTAAAGGTTACCAAGCAACAGGTACTCGTTTTGGCAGAAGACATGTCAACACTCACAGAACGGGGAGGGCACAGACCTGAGATCTAAGACTTGGCTTGCGACGACGCCGGGCTGGGTGGACTTTCCTTCAGGCAGATCGTACAGAAAGAGCTTACAGTCACAGACAACCGCATAAGCCCGCTGCCACCCTTTCTTCACCCCGGTAGGCTTTGGGACCTACAGATAAACAGTGACCACATTTCACCGGGCCAGGGAGGCCGAGGCACTTGGAGACTTCCTGGAGGGGTCCCTGCACCCACCATCTGCTTCCAGCCGCTGCATGCTGGCCCGCTTCTCCACGGACACCTCCCCCACGCCCCCACCAGCTGGTGGCCAGAGCCCCATCTCCACGTCGGACAGAAGGTGATGCGGGGACGACAGGTGTGCTCACACCAGACCTGGAGCATCTCGGAATGCGGCAGCTCAACAGGTGCTCAGGGCTGTCCGGCAGTGTCTTCCAACAGCACGTGACTTTGGGACCCCGTCTTTAAGCGCTCAGCCCAGGAGGCAGGAAGAGGGGCCCTGATTCTGAGCGTGTTTCTGTGGGGTCCTTGGGACCTGGGCCTGACCTCGATTTCCAGGAGGGGAGGCCTCCTGGGACGGCACAAAGGTCATCACCCCGACACCAGGGGAGGTGACGGAGATGCGCACCCTCGGGGTCCTACCTTCACATAGCCCTTGTAGGCCGTCCCTATGCCCCGCTGCACGTCAACGCCGAGAGGCCGCTTGGACTGCTCAGGAGGGATGGGGCACACCTGGGGAGCGCTGTCTTTGCAGGAGACGTGGCAGGCAAACGAGCACACTGGAGGAGTGAAGCAGCACCGTGTCAGGAGGCCACTTGGTATCACGCACGTGTCCCAAGAAATGGTACAGATACCCAGTAAACAGTTTCTGAGCTCCGTTCCCACAAAAGCTCAGGGGCTTTGGCGCGGAGTGACTTTTCACCACGCCCACAGCAGCATGTCAGGGCATGAGGACTCCTGACATGAAAAAGTGATCACAAAGCTCTATTGCTTGTTCTCCCAGGAAACCCCAGACCTCATTCCACACAGTTAAGTCTCAAAACCACCTGGCAGGAAACAACCTGCAGGTCTGAGGCAGGGCGATGGTTTTGAGGACATACAGGGGTCCTGGCAGCCAATCAAAAGGCTCGCCGAATCTGGGTAACGCAGGAAGACCGCTGCTGTCTCGTAAAATGAAGATGGCACAAAGCCCCGCCCACGGACCCAGGCTGCGGAGCGTGCTCAGGGTCCACTCCAGCCCCAGGGCCATTGCTTGGCATCGTGTGACCTTGGCTGGTTGCACGGCACGGGTCATGTTGCCAGATGTGAGCACAACACGGTAAGAGCCAACTGTGTCCATGACCGGGAATGGCGATTTTCTCCAGAGGACTTGACACTGCACCGTTTTAAAGTCTTCTACACTCTGCTTTTGCTAATTTTCCAGAATGACTGTGTAGGTTATGTTTTATGATCAACAACCATCAGCAGATGACCTGGGTCACCGCGTAGCAGCACATGTCCCATTACGGCAAAGATTCAGGATTCGACTCACAACCTTCACTGAGAATTTACTGCCCTCAGTTCACTCACAGCTGGGCTTCACTTCAGCCTTATCTGCCTCTGTAATAGCTGCTTCCCCGGAGGTGGCAGGTGCCCTGGGGACACGTCCCACCTCTGGCCACGCGGCAAGCAGGCAACACTCACCCTCGCAGGCGTAGCCCTGCCGGATGAGCCCGACCATCAGGGAGGTGCAGTGGCTGCACTGAGTGGGGCTGGAGAAGGACTTGATGCTGAACTGGTGAGCTTTGGGCTGCAGGAAGAACATCGACAAGGTGAAGCGTGAACAGAACAGGTGGGTTGATCCACATGTGATCAGACCTGTAAACAACTTGGGCGGGATCTGAAAAGCTGCAAATGCGCCATTTCACTGGGAGGCGCGCGGGCCCCTAGCAGGGCTAACCAGACTGATGTTAACCCCCCACGGAGCCTGAGCCAGGAGCGGCAACACGCTGCCTTCAGAGCAGGCCTGCTGCCCCAAAGGCAAGGTCGGCTGGCCTGGGGCAGCAGCAGCACGGCTGACGCTTGTTCTGGTGGCAGCTCCCCGCCTGGGGCCAGCCTGGGGCCACATTTTGGGGAGAAGGGGGGGGTGTCCCACCCAGAGCAGCCCTTCTGTGTGAGACCAAGAGACATGCAAGAAACGAGCAGCAGCGCTATTCCTACTAGCAGGAGCGGAAAGGCCTGCTGTCCCTGGCTGGGAGAAGGGACACATGGTGATGTGACCAAGCACGACAGGAAAAGGGAAGCTGCATGGAGAGGCGGGCTGTGCGGGGCGAGGACAGTGTGTCTATAAGGCTCCAATGCGGCAAAAGGAAAGGACTTACTGTTCGGGACAGAAGTACAGCGGAACCATTTGTAAGAAGCAAGGGAGGGACCCACACAATCCAGGGTGCTGTCTACCTGATCTCTGACTCTACGAGAATCAAAGTCCGAAAGCCAAACCACTAATGAGTCTCAAAACAGAATCAAGTTTCTTGTTTCTCATTGGCATGGCTGTCTATGGTTGAAACCCTAAAAGAGGCCATGTCTACTTAAAGAAAGCATCTAAGTACATAAGGCCACATGCCAGCGAGGCTTCAAACTGAGGGCCGTGTCCCAGCCGGAACGCCATGGTCTGTGTGGAAGCTGCGTGCATGGCCCTCCAAGTACACGGATGAAAAAGACATTCCAAAGTGCACAGCCAGCGCGGTTCCATTTATGCCGGGGGAAATCCCTCCCACAAACCATGTGGTTCTCTAAGGTTCTGAGTGTAGACAGACAGATGGAAATAAACTTGGAGAAAGAACTTACTAGATACAGAGCAGTTATCGCTGGCAAAGGGAATATGATCTGGGGAATGAAGAAGGGGGCTGAGGGGATGGAACTCTGAAATTTTTCAATTAAAATGCATTCATGGTCTTGATTTCAAGGAGGAAAGCACAGGGTCCTGACCTTCTGGACCACATGCTATTCAGAATAAAGCATTAAGAGAACACAGGCTTACCTACTGTGCCTACAAAATTAAATGTCTGTCCTCTGACACCAAGGTCATTTTCTAAATTGAGAAGGTGCCCCAGGCGAAGAAGCAAGGCCTACCTTTGGTCCAGCAAGAGCGAGGGCCTGCGAGGTGGGCAGCGGCCCGGCGGGCGGCCTCTGCGGGGCCCGAGCCATGTCCTGGGAGGCAAGCAGACAGGTGAGCACCGTCCGAGCTCAGCTGCTCTCACGGCAGACCCTGCCTGGGATCGCTTCTCTCACAAACTGATCAATAATGAACAGTTCTGCATTTTTAATTCACTACATTGTTGGGACAGCTGTCAAAGCCGATGTGCTGACAGTGACTCTGACATGCAAGTCGGGCTCGAGCCGGGAGCTGCGAGGCAGGACCTGCAGCAGCGGCTTTGGCCTTGGCCTCAGGCTCGGCCTCAGAGCAGCTCCTGCTCAAGGACAGTGGACACCATGGGTGAGGGGGAGCAGAGCAAGGCTTGCAGTGCCACTGGGCACCCACTTACTTCCTGCTGTTCTGTGCCTGTGGCCACAGAAGTTGACGGGGACACTTCTGGCTTCGGAGCTTGTGTCTCTTGCTCACTAGCTGAGCTGGTCTGTGGGAAAAGACAAAGAAATAGTGAATGGACTTATACTGCAGAATTCTGACTCTATTATAATTACGTGTTCTTTATTTAAAAGCGCGCTGCACGAGGGATCTGAGGTCTCAGTACAGGTTCCTACCCCGGACGCCCTGTCGTCACAGGCCTCGCTCACCGCTTCCTGCCTTCCCTGTGACCACTGCCCTTGGCATTCTTCGGCTGGAGTGGTAACCACTGGGCAGGTGGAATCTGACAAGTGACAGTCACCATCCGCCCTCGGCTCCAGCTGCAGCCCTCACCATCCATCCCCCCACCCTCTGACGTCCTTCAGAAGTGGTTTCATCTGTACCCGGCAGCCTTAAATAAGGCAGCCAAATGCTTCTCAACTTCATTTCAGGGATCAAGCAGAAATCCTAACATCAACAGAGGTCTGTGGGCCTATGACCAGAAGAATTTCCCTGAAAGCTTATGACACTGGAAAACAATGTCTTTGTTCTAACGACTCAAGATTCCCAAGTTAATTTCACAATTCGAAATTGAAGCTAAAGCTTTGAGGCTAAAGCTGCATTCTAAAACCACTTACAAATGACCTCATCTTAATGAGTGTTCCCGACACGACTCTTTTCGTCAGAGGCTGTCACTGTTTACACAGACACACGCGTACCACCTGTGTGTGTGTCGTAAGCGCTAGCACCGGGAAAGAGCACGCTGGGACCCAGAAGAAGATGGGGGGTACCTATGAGAGCCGTTTCCATGGACCTGGCGCTCCACACGGAAATCCCAGTGACCCAAGTCAGACACTTCCCAGCAGGAGCGATTAACTAGGCTGCTGTGGGAGAGCCTGGCTCAGACGGGCAGGGAGCGCGTCCACACAGCATGCACCACCATACACGGCAGTCCTGGATTCATAGACGCTCACAAGGTAAGGCTGGATCAAGTCGCTAATTACCAAAGCTACGAATGTTAAGCGAATCTCTCCCATGGATGAGGCACGTTACATGAGTTAGAGTCCCATCTTTAGATAAATGAAGAGCAAAGGAACATTAAGTCATTTAATTTTAGCCAAGTAACAGCCCCACTCGTTTCATTTAGTTGGTTAATTGATCAGAAGGATGCAGATTAAGAGGAGGCATTCACACTTAGAGGGCTGCCCCAGCGACACAAGGGAGACGAGGAACGCCAGCATCGGCGGTGACTTACTTCTTCCCAAGAGGCTAGCAGAGAGGACGTGGAGGAGGAGACAGAGTCCTTGGTTGTGACAGACAGAAGGAACAACACCATCACTTCCCACCCAATAAAAGCTTGCGTGAAAACAGATTCCATTATGGTGGCAAACCATTTCTAGTACTAAACAGCATGTTTAATGTGGGGAAGTGGAACAGAAGCTTCCAAGACGATTCTCAGGTCTGGAAACTCCTCCTAACAGACCCAGACTCTAACCAAAGATTTTTTTCCCCCATCAATAAATATCCTTTCTACTTAAAACACGGATGAATTCAAGAGGGACTCAAATTAAACATTAAAATGGCGGGCCTGCTGACTACAGAGTAAGGTACACAGGTTACAACGTCCGCCTCCATGCTGAAGTGCTCTATGGCTGTCCCGTGATGGGGGGGCTCAAGCTGGGAGGCAGCTGCCAGAGAGGTGGCTGCTCTGTCCACCAAGTTGACAGAAAAGCCACTGCTTTTGGCCACCGCCACCCCGCTGACAGCCCGCCTTTGGCTCTTGGCCTCTGTGCTCATCCCCACCATAATGGCGTCTGGCTCTGCAGGGATGGGAAAGGCACGCAGCTTGTGGAGCAACAGGCTGTTGAAAGGCCCAGCATGCATCTAACAGTTAAATATATTTACTGCTTAAAAACTGAGGACTCTAGGGAAAAGGCAATGTGATAAAAACCCACACTGACAGGTGAATGTAACAGGTGTGTGCCCACAATGGCATGAGCAAGCCTGCTCGCCTCATCTAGGCTGCTGGTGGACACACATCCAACAGTCACCTGCTGACTGCCACTGGGGCCCTTTCCAGGGGCGAGGTCTGGCTGACCCCACCTCGACCCAGTGATCAAGCTCAGTATCACCAACCCTGGGCAAACTGGCCTCCACGCGGAGACGTACGTGTCCATCTCCGGTACAGAATTCATGCCAAAATATTTACCCCACATCCAAACAGGAGGAAACATCCAACCAATCCAGAGGTCAGAACATTCTATAAGACTACTGGTCTTGACATTACAAAGGAAGGCAGAGGGGCAGGGGCGCTGTTCCCGACTAAGGGAGACAGAAGACGTGACACCTAGGTGGGGTTCACTGGCCCTGGCTGGTTCCTGAACGAGGCCAGCAGCACCCACATCTCCCACACGGCAACGACCCTGGTTAGGTGGGAGGACGCCCTGCATCTCAGGAAATCAATTCTGAAGTATTCTGGGATCACTGACGCCTACAACTCACTTTCCAACAGTTCAGGGGATAAGTCTGAGTGTACGTGGGGAAGGAAGGAGGGAGGGAGAGAGAGGGAGGGAGAAAGGGGGGAGAGGGAGAGAGAGGAAACAAGTGTGGCAGAATGGCAGGTGCAACACGTGTGTGTTCGCTGCACTAGTCTTTCAGCTTTCTTGCAGGCTTAAATTTTTCTCAATAAAAAGTTGCAAAGCCAACAAAATACCTCACAGAAGTCCTATTAATGAGATTTGCTCTCATTATTTTTACTTTCCGGCTTGCTTCAAGGGGTTGCTAGTAAGGGTCCATCCCATCCCTCCTGTTTTGGGAAAAGAGAGGAAGTCTGTCGGGCCTCCACGGGAGGCCATGAAGAACATGCAGCGTGAAAAGGGGGGAAGTGGGGTGCACTCTGCACTCAACAGCTGCTTCCTAAGCAGACAGCCCTCTGCCCTGTGTGACAGGCTGCCGAAGCACTGTCACGTGGGTCAGTCCCTGAGCAGGCGCAGGAGGCACTAGCTCCAAGGGCAGGACGGCCCGGGGCCTGGGTCCCAACTTCTTACACACCCCTCTCTTCACCCGTCCCCGAGACCGAGCTGTGCAGCCATAAAGAAGTCACCGAAATGCTAACATGGCTGACTCCTTCATTTGCTGCACTGTGAGAGTCTGTATTTAAAAAACTGCCTGAAATACTCACTACAGGCAGAGGCCAGCGTAGATTTTTTTCCCTGAAGATACTGAACACTTTCTAATCAACTTCCCCTTAATTCGAGGAAGCTTCTCTGGGAACATTTAAATAACTTACAAGTCTCCAAACCAGACACTTAACACCCGGTAACGACAGGGTCAGTGAGTTGGCACGCTAGAGGCAGTGCCAGGTGAGCGTTACTGTGGGATGGAGGCACCACAGGCAGTCACACCCTGTTACACTCTTTCTTAGCATTATTTAAAAGTAGAGACTTACTCTAAATGTCAGATCGTGTGCCAGAGGTGCAGTGTTGAAATATTCAAATATAGAATCCTGGAAATCTGGAAGCTTGAGTCCTGGAAGAAAGAAGGAAGCCCCAGTCAAGATAATGATTTACGCTTAGACGGGAAGACTCAGTGTCACCAAGATGTCAGCTCTCCCTGAGTCAGCTGATAGAGCTGGTATGACAGCACTAGAAATACTATTAGATTTTCCCAGAGCTGGACAAGAGAGCTGAAAAGTTCACTTGGGAGAGTAAACAAGGGAGACTATCTTCCTCTTAAAAAAAAAAAAAAAAGGTGGGGGAGGGGCAGTGATTTACTAGGTATTCAATTAAATGGATCCACAACAGGGTTTTGTCTATGAACAAGGAACAGGGTAGAAAATCCAGAAACAGACCTAGGTGCCTACGGTAATCTCATATATGATAAGAGTCAAATGCCATCAGCAGGGAGAGGAAGCTTTTAACAACTGGTATTGAACAAATAACTAGCCAAAAGAAAAAGATAAATCTGGATCTATTCCCCAAACTACACTTTAAACTTTCCAAACATCAGAGTAAATTCCAAATGAATCAGTAAACTAAATTTTAAAAAATGAAAGCATACATGTATTGGAAGAAAACATGGGTGAATTACTTGAACAACTGGGGACTTGGGAATATTTCCCTATGACTTAAAAAAGGGAAAAACTGATAAATTTGACACACACAAAATTAAAAACCATTATGCTTAGCAAAAACCCCCACAAAAAACAAAAAAAAACCATAAGCAAAGTAAAATGATAAAAGCCAACAAAGGAAAAATATTTGCAACAAAAGGCTCTCATCCTCAATTACACAAAGCTTTAGAAAATTAAGACTTAACCTGAATTTTAAAAAATGGGCAAAAGATATAAGTGTATGAATCACAGAAATAGCAACAGTTCTTCAACACAGGGCAAGACGCTCAGTCTTGCTCGTAAGGAAGACGCAAACAAAGCCTGTTTCGACGCTGCTCCTCACCTATTCAGTGTGTGGAATCAGACTTCGCGGGCGAGGCTGGGGTGGGACCCTGGCCTGCACGGTGGGGGACATAAGTGGACCAGCCTCGGGAGCAGAGTCCAGCAGTATCTAGCAGAAGTGTAATTCCACTTCTGGAAATCTACCCCAAACACTGACAGAAACGGAGCTATTACATGCACTTGGCTACACACGCAGCACATTTTCTGACAGCAAGAACAGGAGCAGCCTGCTGCCCACCCACCGAGTGGCACAGCCCACAGGGGTGCTGGTGCGGCCGTGAGGGACCCGGGTCACCTCACGTACTGTGGCCTCGTCCACTCGCAGAATGCAGCACATGAGGAGGGTCTGGTGTCTACCTGCACATACATGGATTTTCAAGATGAAGCCAATGAAGGGTCCACCAAACACTGTGGGGAACTTTGGGGATGGGGTCATTGAACGTACTGTTCCCTGTTTTAGAATTTTGGCTTTGAAATGACGTAGTGCTTTCTTTATATAACTAAAAACTATTAAACCTAACAGAAATTAAATCTAAAATAAAACCATTTCACTAAAAAAAGGCTTGTATTTGAAAAATACAGACGCTTATGATTTTAATTTACCGGTATCTGCTCTAAATTTTTCTTCAATCTTCTTCTTCAAAATCTCCATTTCTTCTAACAATTCTCTATTTTTGGCTTCTGAATCCTTTAGTTTGCTACAAGAAGAAATAAATGGCTGTAAGTGCACAGAGAAGAGGTTCAGAGTGTCCAGGACAGGGGCTGATCTCCAGTGCCCGGGAAAGTGCCGAAACAGGACAGGGGCCCACAAACGCTGCTGGACACACTCACGCACCCACTCGTGGTGCGGGTCAGCCTCGCCACTTAGTACCTTCCCAAGAGTACAGATATTTCGGCATTGTAAACATATGTGGATTTTAAAAATCATGGCTTAGGAAAGTGTTATCTCATGAAGCCCAGTGGGGTTTCTGACAGTCCTCATCTCCTTCTAGATGGTCTTCTGTCCTCTGAGGACACATGGCCCCGATTACTCAGCCATCAGACCTGTGAACGCCCTTCCCATAATGGGAATATGGTGGGCTGCACCAAGAGCGCTGCCTCTGCTGCCTAAGCGTGGCGGTGTCATGGTCCCTCCGCTTTCGCAGAGGGTACAGAGTGAAGCCAGGCTGCGACAGTTAATGTGTGGCAGCGTGGAGCAGGCCAGTCAGGGCTACGAGTGGGGTCTGTACTGACTTGATGGGTGACACGGGCGAACAACTGCACTTTCCTGCACCTGTCCCATCATCTGGACGTGGGGTCAGTGTGTGTGCCAGCTGCAGTGACAGCTTGGGGGAGGGAAGTCACACAGACGCCCACTCCCCACTGGAGCCAGATGGCAGGACAAGTACCTTTCAAAGGAGAGATTTGTGTCCTTGACCTTCCTCAGCTCCTCCTGGACGAGCTGTTTGGCCCGGATTTCGGCCTCAAGGGCGGACTGCAGCTCCAGCCGTGCCGACATGTCCAGCTTCTGACTCCGGCGAACTTTCCAAAGCGGATCCTGCAGACATTGGTTCAAACATGGAAATACATTCGTAAGCTGTTTGTTTAACGAAATTAATTATCACAAGTAAGTAATTCCTCTTTGTCTAACCTCAAGCTTTTATCATATTTAAATATTAACTCTTGGATATTATCAAAGTCCACTTGGCCCAATTTTAACTTTGATATTTTTATGGCTTTAATTCTTTCTTAGGGGTCTAAAGAATAAAATTTACTTTTTTATTTTTTAAAGGAATAAAATGGATCCTAGAGTATAATTTCTATATGGGTCCACTAGACTCTTACAAACCTAAGCTGTATTATGGGATCATAGTTATCTTATTTTCCTTTTATCTTGAAACATTTGCCTATTTCATCATCCTAGGAATTATGTCATTACTCATCAATTATTCTTACCCTTGATAAAAGACTAAAATAATAAGAAAAAGGGAGAATGATGGAATGTTCTAGAAGATGAAGCAACAGTGAAACAGAATAGTTTGATTATAGCATTCTTCCCTTTTCTTACTGAATGGCCAACGTAGTTCACTGACTTTCAAGGTGCATAAAGACATCTGGAGATAACAATTTTTTCAAAGTTTTCATTCACCCCAGTTGAGAGTTTTTCATTTTCCATCCATAACAGTGAAGACAAGAAAACTAACTGAGGGACACTTTTCACAATTAACAATCAGGAGCAGGTGTGGAGGGACAGAGGTGTGTTATTCAAGGATGATGGGAAATCGGTTGAAGGAGAGAAACCTCAGCGAGTCTCCAGGTGACCACATCCTAGACAAACTCCTCCAGAATTAGTGAGTGAACACTACACTTCTAAGGACAAAAAGGATGTATGATTTCATCCAATTAGTCCTTCAATAATCAGAACTATTTACACAGTATTTGCAACAATCTCAAACATCCCACTTTGCTAAAAGGACCCGTGACAGTATTCTTCTGTCTTTTGAGGTTTGTGCACAAAATTTATTCAATGCAGTTCGTAAGTGCCAGTGTGGGAAGAAAAAAGTTGAAAGAAATTTACTAATCATTCTAATTGGTGTTTATAAATCTAAAATCTGAAAATGAAAATGTTTTCCAATTATGGAAGAAGCATGGTCGTAATCTTTTCTTTAATAAAATTATGAGTGGTTACTGTTTTCAGAGCAGGAAGGGAGGGAATGATAAGCGAGAAACTATCAGACACACGCGTGAAGCTGGCATCCCTGTTACAAGATCGATGAGTCCTGGGTTCTCGTGTGACGGGTAAGCAGTGAACGACATCTGAAGGTGCTGCCCGTTTGGGGTAAATATACCTTCAAGCCAGGAAAATGTGAGATAAAAATTTGGGTTTATTAAGTTTAAGTTCTAGCTAGAATTTTAATAAACTCGTTTCCCTGTACCTTTATTCTTACTTCTACACATTATTCACAAAATAACTAACATATACTTAAGTAGATTGGACCCAGAAAAATGGACACCAGAAGGAGGAACACATGTGGCCGCCGCCCAGGAACTGGGCTGAGGTGACACTCCATGCAGCCTCGAGCTCACCTGGCTGGCTGGAGGGTCACGTGGTGAAACAAACCCGAGGGCAGAACCCCGTCCTGCTAATTTAAGGTCTGCCCAAGCCTGGTACTCAGCAGCCATTCGCTAGTGAATGAAACGCACCGAGTCTGACCTCCCGGTAACTGACTAGATGCAGGCGTTCCTCCAACTGGGTTAGCTTTTCCACCGGAGTCACGTGTGGAACTTAGCCACATTCATGTTAAAAATAAAGCCACTAACGAATCCCCCAGCAATGGAAGCGTGGACTTTCAGACAAAACCCACCAGTGTTCTTGATCCCAGGCTGGAGCTCCTCAAGGCCTCCAGCTCTTCAGTCATCTTAGAAGCAAGAGCTTGAAGATAGCCCCGGGCATCCTTCTCATCGCTGACCCTGCAGACGGAACAGGGTCTGTGAGGGCCAGGGGCCAAAGAGGACAAATGCATACCTCCTCCCTCAGGGCAGAGTGACACCGGGTGGTCACCGGTGAGAAGCAAATGCCTCTATGGCTGAGGCCGGTCCCCGCCCACTGTGGTCTCCTCGTCCTTATGCTTTGTGGAGGCTGTGCCCCGGTGTCCCCGAGAGCGTGTGGGGCCACACACAGCCTGACCCACACCTTCGGTGGATTAGTGGTGCTGGTTTTCCACTTTAAGTCCAGTGATGAGCACTGGACAGAACTGCTGCCCCAGACAGAGCAGTTCGGGGACAGCAGAGAGACCTATACCGAGACCTCAGAGAAGAAGCATGAGGTGTGGGACAGCCGGAGAGGCAGAGTGGGAGCTGGGAGTCCCCGGGATGGCCGCGCACGCACCACTGAATGATCTCTGCGATCTGTGCCTCCCAGTGGGCCGCCGCCTCCTTCCTGGCCGCCAGGCCCTGCAGCTCATCCTCTAGGTGTCTGTTCTGCGCTGTGAGTTTGTCCACAAAGGAGCAAAGCTGAAATTAACCAAGAGCGCCGCACATGTGTTATTTGGCACGCTTTAAATGGCACGTCGGCATTCGTAAAACTACACGATCTCTTGAAGATTTTGAGTTTTCTTTCATCATTATGAGTTTTTGCCAACTAAATTCAGGACATGAACTTTCTGACTGTATGCAACTCAAGTCATATTTCAACCCAAATCAGCATAAACGTGAGAGGAGTCAGTGATGTCAGGTAATGCGCAGCTTTTAACCACACGAAAACATCCCATTTAAAAGATCAAACATACTACTTGATTTAAAAATGAAAATATTTAAAATACCAAACTTCCAACACTCAAGAACGAAGAAAATTACAGCTTCCCCAAAGTGATAGCTCAGATCTTTTAAATTACCCTCTCATTTTCAGCAGTTACTTTCTTGTTTTCCTCAAGCAGCATTGCTCTTTCTCGTTCATATTTATCTTTTATTGTACCGACTGCCTCCTCCATTTCATTATGCCTGAGAAGGGAAAGGGGAGAAGTTCTAGAAGTTCCTACGTGGTCAATGAGCCTTCCCGTCCACGGCCTGGGCTGCGGAGTGCGTGGGAACTTACCGTTCTCGCTTGGACTTTTCTAATTTATCTTTTAACATTAAGATCTCTTTCTGCAGGGCCAGCTGGTGGCTTTCGGAGTCGTGTACCTCCTTTTTCACATTTTTTACTTCCAGCACATGGGAGGCCTCACGTCTGACCAATTCCTCTTCATAAAACAAGACTTTCTTCTCAAGTTCCGATTTTATTTTGGAAATCTCCTGCTGATGTTCTAAGGTGGCACCTGGTCCTCGGCCTCCTTGCTTTACCTGAAGATGAAGGTTCAACTAAATTCCAAACCTCTGTGCCCTCCCTCGTGGGTCGTGCTGCCTGTCACCCCTGCCACATGCACGCGCTTATAAACGCCGCGTCCTGTGCTCCCCCAATGACACGCGGCAGAGCTGAGCTCAATCATACGGCCCTCCCAACACCTGCAAGGCAGAGTGGGGGGTGGAGTAGCTTCCCTGCAGAAGGGACGTGCCTAGAGCTGCCTGGGGCCCCAGAGGCTCTGTCTCACTCTGGTAAGAAGGGTCCCCAAGCTCTCCCCACACTCTCCACCCTGTAACAACATCCTTCTGAGGGCTGACTACGTGTCAGGCACCATTCCAGTAACAGGGTCACAGCAAGGTCTCTGCTCTCGTGAGGCAGAAGGGGAAAGACTGGCAACAAACCAGAAAATAAGCGACAATAACACAAGGCAATGTGATAAAGCATGGAGGGTGGGGACACAATTGGCTGGACCAGGTGGCAGCAAAGACGATGGAGAAACAGACACCTTGGGGATATGTGCTGGGGGGGAAGGGAGGCGGCGCATTCTCCGATGGGCCAGGTGTGGGGGCTGAGGGGGAGAGAAGAGCCTTTGCCTCCATTTCACAGACGAGGAGCCTGTGGCTCAGGAGCTGGAGCACCCGAGGTGGCACTAAGCCATCAAAGAGCCCTACCTCCCCCTCGCCTGTGCTGTCTCCGCCATAGCTCTCGCCCCTTGCCCCACGCCGCCGTCTGGCCTTGCACGACCAGCCTGTCTCTTCCACGTCAGCAGCGGCACATGGGCTTTAAGGAATTTCTCACAAGGGAACTCCACTGAGTTTAGAAACCCAGGTGTACAGAAGGCATTAGGTGTTAGTTTACTAGGGCTTACTATAAACCGACGGAAACTTGCACCCAAAGAGAGATGAATGGACTTGGTTTTTAAAAGTAAAACGCTTGTAAAGGTGGGTTCCCGTCCCACCATCTGGCTGGAGCTGCCTGGTGACGACTGCCCGACAAGCACAAGGCTCGAGACGACTTGCACGGGGACAGTTATAAAGCACAGCCGCCAACGGCGGCAGGCGGTGAGGCCGCCGGGCTGTACCTTGAGGGCCTCCAGCTCGCTCTCCACCTGCTTGGAGAAGCTCTCGCTGTGCTCGCGCAGCGTGCGCTCCTTGGAAGCGTCGGCGACGGCATCCTCGAGCTGAGCTTCGAGCTGCAAAAGGAGAACACCGCTGCCTGTCGGTGAGGCCTGCCCAAAGGCGGCTCAGCAGACAGACAGACAGACTCCAGCAAGAGCCAGAGCTCTACTTCTTCGCGCTTCCTCAGATGTTACAAGATAAGGGCGAAGGAGTGCATTCAGGGCTTGACTGGAATGGCTGCTTAGTAACAAAACCAGTTTATTCTCATTTAAATCAATAATTTGACACTCAATTTCAGGAAAAGATACTGATTTGTGAAAACAAGTGTATCTTGTGAGACACATATCCCTTTTTTAAATGGGAAATTTCAAACATACGCAGAAGCAGAGGGAGCAGCGTCCACAGAGCGCAACTCGGGCCAGCACACATGTGTACACAGCCTCCCGAACGACCCAGAGCAGACCCCCGACAGCGCCTCACTCATCCAGAACCGGAACAGCCACGCTCAACCAGGAGTCTTGCTCACCGAGTTACAGCTGGCTGCAACTGCCAACGCCTCTGGGCTGCAGAGCGAGCTGTCTAAGAAAGCACACAGGCTTTCTGAGGACAAGTGACAAAGAGCCTCAAACGTGAGAGGAAGAAAGGCATGGACCCAGCCTTCCAATCCACAGGGCTTACCAATTAATTTCAACCGAATTTTACACTAAGGGTTGCTTAAAATAGGTCACCTGTTAACAGAACATTGGTACTATGCAGGGCAGGGGTTCTCAAGGAGGGTCCTGAGAGCCTTTCCGGGGTCCACAAGGCCCTTCCTTTTCTAATCAGCCATCCGAAGGAGCTGAGTTTTCTTCATGTACGTTACCCCAAACAGCCAGTTATTTTAAAGAGCTACAACAATGCCACTCTTCTCACTACATTTTTTTGAGAAAATAGTTACTTTTCATAAAAACATGTCACTTATGTTAACACGTAACGGGGTTAATTGTTATACTGAATGGAGTCTCAGTTTTCATTTCTAACAGGACAAATATGAAGAGCCACAACTACACAAACTAAAGCTCTATGGGGCCTCAGTAATTTTTAAGTGTCTAGATGGCAGGTCCCAGAGCCGCCGTGAGCTGTGCCAGGCTGGGGCCTGCCCTCCGGCTCCTGTCCAGCCCACGTGGCGCAGGCGCTCGTGCTCATGTGGCTGTGCCATGTCACATCAGGCAGGCACATTTATACTACATTTGTTGGGCATGCACACTCTCTATTTGTTTTAAGAGGGGATTTTAAAAAATTAGTTTTGCCAGAATCTCTTTTAATAATTTCACAAATGGATGTTGAGGGCTGAGAACCACAAAATGAGTGCCTGGCAGACCGACTGACTGGGATTCGCGTAATATCTAAGCTCCATTTTAAAGGAGCCGCTGTCATGCAGCCAAGTGTTCAGATGTGTGCTCAAGGCATGCAGCCCACCCCAGGCACCAGAGACACACAAACGCTACCTCCTTCCTGAGCTTCTCGGCCCTGCGCGCCTCCTGCCGCATCGTGTCCGCCTTCTGCAAGGCAGCCTCCAGCTCCTCCTCCTTGTCCCGGAGCTGGCGTGCCACCTTCTGCTTCTGGGAGCGCAGCTCCGCCATGCGCTCATTGAGTTCTGAGAACTCCTGCAGGGCCAGCTTCCGCTGCTGGTGGGCATCTCTGAGCTCCCTGGCCTGGGACTTGAGGCGCTCTGAAGCTTCAGCCAGTTGCTGAACAAGAGGAATCACAGATGTTTTACACGTGCTTAACAAAGATGTGGAAGGCTGGAAGCCCGGTCTCCATGGGAGCTGAAGTGACCATGGCCACAGGTCCAGGAGTCGCTCTAGGGGATGTGCACACCCTGGCAGGCCACCTGAGCTCAGCTGCTGAGTGCCGGCCACTGTGCTGAGCGCACGGAAGACCTCCCTCTCCAGGCGTGCACAGCCACCTCAGCCCCTTGCCCACAGCAGCCAGTCTGGCTCCCCCCTCTCCCTGTGCACCCCACAGACACAAGGGGGCACAAGCAGGAAATTCGTGAGGTTCTTCTGGTCACCCATCCAGTTCCTTAAGCACAGATCAGGAAAGAACACATTACGTGGTCTTAACTGCTTAAGATTGCAGTCTCAGAAGAGAACTGTGTGCAAACAACTGCCAGGTGGCTGGTCCTTTAGAAGAGTCAGAGCTACGGGTGCCGGCTGCCCTTCGGCTGCCCTGCCAGCTTACCTCCCTGTGGCTGGTCCCTCAGCAGCCGGGCTGCTCAGTCACTGTGGTACCTGCTGGCCGAGGTGGAAGGAGCGGGCCTGGCACCTGCAGCCCACGCCGACTCCCACACAAAGCACTGCAGGTGTATGATACCAGGTGAACTGAACAGTCTGCCTGGGTTGAAATCCTACACATTTTAGAGACCAGATCACCAACCACAGGGTCAAGGACTGAAGTGTATACATGAATGTGTTTTAGAAAACACGATCCTAACTGTGGTGTGAATATCCTGGAGACAGAGCACACAGTTTGATATAGCCTAACGATAATCCAGTTTATAAAGGAACGGTCTCTTCTGCAGTGCCCTGTCCTAAGAGGTCACTTCTAGAAGAAGGGGGGTGGAGGCTGCTGTGGGGTGTCCTGGACGACTGGGAAGGGTGTAAAGCCAGCGAGGTCAGCAGCTATGGACCCTGAGATGTGGGGGAACCCCCATGTCCCTACTTTTACCTGGGGGGACACCACTTACTCAGGAGGGTAGCAGTGGAGACTAACAGTGACTGTGAAGTGGGCACTGGCCGCAGCCGAGTGCCTGGAGGGCTCTGAACCTCTGCTCGATTTAACATTACACAACTTGGCCCATCACTCAAGCCCCGTCCGCAGCCCCGCTCCCCCCCACCCCCCCACACACCTTGTGCAGGTCCTCCTTCTCCTGGCGCAGCACACGGTGCTGCTTCTCCAGGCCCTTCAGCCGGTGCACGGGGTCCTCTTGCTCCGGGCGCAGTGTCACCGTGTCCTCAAGCTGCCGCTCGAGCCTGTTTGAATCTGAGCAAGAGAGAAAATAAATCACGTTTCCTTCGGTGCCAATCTGTTCTGAATTACTGACAGTGAGTTACTAATAATTCCTAGCAGTCTTCTTCACTTAGAGGCCTTTGTGACTTTCTCACACACACACGCTGTGTCACGCGCACAGCCACCTGCACAGTAAACACACTCACTGGACTTTACTCCGGCACTCTCTGTAAGCGCTCTCTCCCAGGCCGTGAGCCCCAGGGCGGTGCTCACCTGTCTGTGTCATCCTTGCTAACCTGTGTAAGCTAGCACAGTGTGACCGAGGCGTGCAACAGGCTTTAGTGAGAAATGGACTCAACCGAAGCCTTTTTCTGGAACAGGATGGTGGGGTTTGATCTGGAGATGAGAGTCGACTGCAGCACCAACCTGGGTCAGGTTATGGGTTAAGACTTAAAAGTGGTTTGAGTCTTTAGGAAACTCCAATGACATAGGAACCACAAAGATAGATGGTGACGATAGATCTAGCACCTGAAATACTGAAAAGTGGGCACAGCCACTGATGGAAGCTTTAGAAAGAAGCAAACTATGGCAGTTCTGTACCAGAGCTACAGAGAGGAGAGTTAAGACAGAAATGCAAATATTCTGGGAGTTTATGGACAAAATATTAGGACTTGGTTCTAGCTCTAACTATAATATTATATTAGAACTAAGCAGCTTGGAGAAACAATTTTAAATAAACTGACAAAATACCGGAAATCTAAACGGGTTTGCTAAAGCTGAAGCTTTTTTTTTTTGCTTTTCCACCTTATGAAAAGGACCCTGAAACTTTTCTTTGTGGAGATTAGCACCCTCTGAGAATAGAGACTAAGTAGCTGGGCTTGAACACGTACCTGCTATCTTATTCTTCAAGCGTTCGATCTCTTCGTTTAACTTTTTGATTTCTTTATCTCGGGCTGAACCGCCCAGGGCCCGAGCTGACCCGTGGAGGGACTGTACGGTCTGGGTGGACTCTAGGGTGGAAGACACGGCATGAGTGTAGCCTGGCGACATGAGCGGGCCGAGGCTGAGTGCGGCGGCTCTGCACCCACCTTGCAGCTTCCTGCTCAGCTCCAGCTTCTCCTGCTCCAGCCTCCGTATCCTCCTCTCGTACGCTTCCACCTGCAAGCTGTTCTCCAAATCCCGCTGCACGCCCTCGTCTCTGGGTAACGTGCTGGACTGCATTATGCTCTTCAGAGAGCCTCGATCAGAAAAACAGCTGCAAGTAGAGCGACAGGGTTTCGGATCTACAGAGCATTTCCGCGGATTTCATTAGCATTTAAAAACTTCCTGGGGTAAAAGATAAGTCTCTTTAAATTGGCAAACAAAAATACCTGTGAAAAGGCTTTATTGTTTATGGAGCCAAAATTAGACAAGGGCCTTCCTGACTGCAGCGACTGCTGCTGACAAAGGGAGAGGGAGAAGGACCCGCCTTCAGAGCTAGTCAAAGAAGCCGCCTCTGCAGTGGAAGGGAAATGAATGTCTAAATCCTCGCTTTCACTTAACTACAGGTGCGAAGAGAGAGGCGTCCTGAAGGAGCTGGCTGGGCTGCCGGGCCTTGGCTGGGCTGTGCACAGAGGCTGCCCAGAGGGCAGTGGCGTGGTCAGAGCAGTGGAGCCCTTGATGGCTCCCGGGTTCTGCCACTAACTAGGGACAGTCCCCTGAACCCCTAGGGCTCATCTTCCCCTGCTGACTAAGCAGCCCGTAGGGCGCCTACAGTTGCAGCTCTCACCAGCACAGCTAAGCTCCTCAGCACCGAGCAGCCGGCCCAACAACGCGCCCGTGTGCGACAGGCCCCACCCTGCACACGAGAGCCACAGAAGGTGCTCTCGTCCCGAGCTTCATTCTTGGACTGTTCCACATGGAGGTGGTTCCTCCTGCTTTTCATAGGACAGTGATGTCGGGGAAACGTTTCTGAGTCCCATGCCGAGTGCAGCAGGGACCAGCACGTGTACGCCAGGGTTTCTCAAAGGCGGCCTGACAGTGCTGTGCGAGCCTGGGCCCTGCCGCCGATCCGGAGCCCCCGAGCTGGGGACCGGCAGATCTGACAAGCAGGTCGAGATAATAACACAACCGATAATAAGCCGATATGCCCCCCACTTCCTGGACTAGAAGGCATCAGCCATCATTTGGCTCAGTGCGGTTTAACCCTATAGCTCACACCAGAAGTTTCCACGAGCTCGCAAACAGAAGTAACCCTTTCCTGAAGGAACTTAGATCAGTTCAGGTACAAGCTACTAGAAGATGCCGTAGCTTGACCTAACCTCAGACACGGTGGAGTTTCACTTGTTTTATTCCACGCCCCCCTTCTTTCTAACCCCTCTCCTCTTGCCCCAGTTTCCCCTTAAGAGTGAGGGAGAGCACCTCAGGCGACACGTCTCTGCAAGAGGCCCATTCAGTCAGTGGCGGGCAGACACAGGCACTAGGGTGGCGCTCCCAAGGGGGTGGAGTCACAGGCGAGGCCTCGGCTTTGCAGGTTTTTCCCTATGTCAGGGACTGTGCTGTCCCCCTACTAATGGAAGCTAGAGCTGCGCCTGAAATCCCTAAAAGCAACCACATGCCCTAATGAAAGGCGGCTCCCAGCTGAGCATGCTGCCAGGGGCCACTGGGCCACTGAGGGCTGTCTGTCAGAGGTGACGGCCTCCAGGTCAGGGTCAGCAAAAGATAGCCTGGGACCACACCTCCCCCCTCACCCCTTTTGTACCTCCCACGATCTAAGAATGGTTTTTACATTTTTAAAGGGCTGTTAGAAAAGACCAAGAAGAAGAATATACCAGAGGCCACAAAGCTTAAATCAGTTCCCATCAGGCCCTCTGTGGAAAAGTCTGCCGGCCCTGCTATGTCATCACGATGACCGGGTATGCATTTTTAAAAGATGAACCCGGCCACACCTTCTTAGCACGGCCCTCCCAGCACCACGCGTGTTCTGCAGAGAAGCCCATCTGACTGTCCCTCTGCCCAGGAGGTTCCTCCTGGGATGACAAATATAGACATACCTTTCTGTTGTGAAGGTAAAACCGATGAATGGCAAATGCAGCCCGGAAAAGCCTGTGTGGGAACCAGGAGGTAGCATTTCCTGCATAAGAACACACGCAGCATAAGTGAGGTCCTCGTTCAAACAAACGGGACAAAGGGAGGAAAGACGGTCCCGGAACGGTGAGACCGGGAGTGCACAGGAGGCCACGGGGCATTCTGGAACGTTGACTCCATGGTGTCACCTGCACGGGAGCTTGGTCTTGGCAGGTTCCCTGTCTTTCCTGGCTCTATCCACTGCACAATGCAGCTAAGAGGGTAAACACACTGCTTCTGATGACGTAATGGCACAGGCCAAACTTGAATCAGCCTGGTGACTTCCTGGCTTTCTTAAGCCGCAGCAGCCGGGCTCAACAAGCTCCTGAGCAGACGAGTAGTGGGGGTACAGGTGCCGCCCCCGGGGGGAACATGGGGCCGGGGCTGGGGGCTCTCAGGTTCTTGGCCCGAAACAGAGGCCAGGGGCAGAGAGGAAGCTGAAACCCAAAGGTAGACTACTTTAGATATGTTTTCATTATAACTCTTATTTTTCAGCTTGAGGATCCTTCTTTACTAAAAATAAAACCAAAGTTATAATTTACCTGGGAAATTTTAGTGTGGTAATAGTTTCTTTGGAGCCTAGGAGAATCCTTTCAACAATGAGCATATTTTTCTCGGTCTTTTCTCCATGTGGTCTCAAGTTCAGTTCTTATTTTAGTAAGAGAAAGTCTCTAAGTTAAGCAGTAATCAAAACTTTTCTTTCACTTGCTTAAGCCTCAGTTACTCTATTCCCAAACCAAGACACACGTGTGGACTAAAAAGGCTGGGTTTGATGAGACCCAAATAATTTTACAACATATGAGCAGAACGCAGAGGCCTATCAGACCAGGTCAGACACCAGCTGGGTCCCTGGAAAATCCACGATCTTAAACGTCAGCAAAAGACTCAAACTCTGCTCATCATCACTGTCGCTCCTGAATTCCTGCTGTATGAAGACACACATGCCAACGCCTAGAACACCGACGGTAGGAAGATCAGACACACTCTCACATGTAAGGACACAGTGGGAGGGACTGGAAACCAGAGGCCTACTACACACTGCCCCTGTGAGGCCGCAGGCCAGGCTCCTCGCCGGGTCTTTAAATCTAGAAGTGGTGACAGGCCTGTGGCGAAGCTCTAATATGACAATGGGGGTGACACAGCTTTGAAAAGGTACAGAGTGCCATGAAAATAAAAGCATAAGTATTTCTGAAGAATTTCAAGACAAAACAGCTATCTACCTCACTTTTACTCAAACTGAGTAATTAATTCATCATGTTCAAAAAGGGACATTTGGAGACCAAACTGAAGGCTGAAATAAAAGGTAGATTTTCTTGAGGAAACAGCCTGTTTTAAAAAATCAGTCCAGTTTTAAGATTTATTGTCTTATCAAGGAATCCCTTCAACACAGCACTGAAAAGCACGCCCACAGTGACACAGCATTGAGGACAGACGGCCATCACACACCCGTGGTGACCGCACTGAGGACAGGTGACTGGCACACTTACGATGTTCCGCAGCACGTCATCGTCCACATCAAAGTTGGACGTGTCCGAGGGGCTGCTCACGTCGGGGATGTAGGGTGCCTCCAGGTTGCGGATGTTCTCCCAGCTGAGGCCTTTGAAGAAGGCGTGCTTCTTGAAGTCCTCAATCCCGTTCTGCCCGAGCCGGCGCTCTCGGCCACAGATGAGTCTCTGGATGAGGTCTTTCGCTTCTTCAGATACATCAGTGACATGGGACGGGAACTGAAATCGCTCCTAGCGGGGTAGGGGAGAGCAATCAGTGGACACGTGATGAAAGCTTACCCAGAAAATTCTAGGGTGCACAGACATTACAGAAAACGGAGCAGAAACAAAGCTCCAAAGCAGCGGTTCCTTTTCATTTCGTGGTAACTAAATGCAAGCCAGTGCTAATGAAATTGAATTCCAGAAAGGCAACAGAAAAAACATGGAGTCTGGCTGATTTTATTCATGGAGACTTGTCATCACATTGCCTGTAAATTCAACAGCGGGCACTGTTCACCTGTAAAGGGCAGAGAGTGCTGACCACACCCTGGGGTGGGACAGACAGCTGCCCGCCTTAGAATGTGCTTTGCCAGCGTCTACAGCGACTCTGTTTTTAAAAATCTACTCTAGCGAAACAGGCACAGAGAAGACACAGCATGTTCCCAACGGCATTGTATGTGAGCAAGAGAATTGCAAACTACGTCAACACCCATCCAAAAGGGGCGTGTTAAAAAAAAAGCTCGGATACACAAAGAGCAAGGTCCATCTCTGACGAAGACTAGAAAGACGACAAATATATGCTGACAAAAAGGCCCAGTTCCATGTGATGTGATGACATTTATTTAAATCCACGTCCCTCCCCCCCCACACCCCTGCTTAAGACCTCGAGGCCACGTAACACACGGCACAGTGGGCCTAAGTGTCGAGCCACCACTTGTGATCTATAAAAATGGACAGGAGCACCACTCCCCAAGCTGCTGTGGAGATACCAGGAAGGCACAAGGAGCGAGGGACCAGGGCCCCTGGTGGCCACTCCGAAGTAACTAAGCCCCACTGGTCGCCTTAACTGCGCTTACCACTGAGAAGTGGACGGGTGACTTCCGCCACCCACTGTGGGCACTTGGCATGGTCTGAAGTGTGTACAGTAAGTACTAGTCATAAATGAAAACATTTGGTTCTGCTTCGGGAGAAGTGTGTAATGGGTTCTGACTTGGAGTATGTGGAAGGCCATTTACGCTGGTGTTGTCTGCTCTGTACACGAGCAGGCCTGGCGCCAGGCACAGACCAGCCGCCAGGGGGCTGTTTCTGGGATGTGTGTGACAGCGGCACACTGGCAGATGGGGTGAAACTGGCATTAGAAAGAAATATTTGAGGAAGGCATGTAAGGAAAAAAACAGAGGACAAAAATATTAGATGGAAGAGGAGATAATAAAAAGCAAAACACTGAAGAAAAGACAGGGGAGAAGGCAAGGCTGACGTGAATGAACAGCTGGAAAGGGAGGGGGGAAGTGAGGAAGAGAGGCGGGGTCGAGAAGGGGTTAGGATGCACCTATGCTGAGAGATGTGATTCATCTACAACTATTTCTGGGAAACAGACTGAGGACCCGAGCTGGCATCTGATGAATCCAGACCCACAGGTCAAACTGCCCAGCTGGCACTCCCCACTGGCCGTCCCCAGGCACGCACACCCTACACGGCCACTATGGATGTCTGCATCTTTCTGCCGAAGCCCAAGTCTCCTGCAGGGGTTCTGACCCAGGGAACACCATCACCCTCCACCAGGAGGTGGGACTGTCCTTCCAGCCCCCAGGGCACACCCACGGTGCCCGTATTTGACCTCCTAAACCTCTCCCGACTCTCAATCGCCGTCCAGCAGCCACCAGCCTGCTCCAGCCCCCTCACCTCTTCCCCAAAGACTAACAGGTCCCCAACTGAGCTCCCTCCTCTAGGTTGCCTGTGCCTGGACATGGAACCAAACGGGATGTGGAAGCGTTTCAGCTTACTTCGTGGTTCATGATCTTTCCGTAGGTCTCCACGAGTGATTCCGCATAAAACGGGGTTTCTCCGTACAGCATTTCGTACATGCAGACGCCCAGGGACCACCAGTCACACTCGGGGCCGTACTTGCCCATACCGTCCTCCATCGCCTGCAGAATCTCCGGCGAGATGTAGTCCGGTGTGCCCACGGCCACGGAGGACTGAACCTTAGGAGAGAGAGCGTGCTGAAGGGCACCCTAGGACACCTCTCATATCAAATTTCTAACGACTTTCTCTAAAATACGGACAACAGATAATGAAATCATCACAAATAAAACTGGCACCTGATCATGCCTGAAAAACCTCATCATTCAAAATTCAATGCAAGTAAACATTCTCTTGCCGCACTGGGCACTTTCCAGATGGGACTGTTGTACGCTGGTCTCTCAGTGTCCAAGTGCCCACCACGGCCCCCAATGGCATCAGTCTCTCAAGGGATGCCATTTCCCACATGCTGCAGCGCTGCTCACTGTGGCCGGGGGCCAGCGGTGTCCAGGCCAGCCCCCCTCAGACTGTCATGTGCACAGAGACCCCTGGGCTCTTGCAAAGTAGAGATTCTAAACTGCCCTAGGGTGGATGTTACGGCTGCCCACCCACGGGCTACCCTCGGTCTGGAAGCTGGTCCATCACCAGCGGGGTGCTTGGGCAGTCCCCAAACAGGACCAGGGAGCTAAGGCGCCTGCAAGGGGAAGAAGCACTCCTCAGCTCTGACTGGCCGGGACACGGCGCCACCTGTGCAGGTAGCTGCGCTCGGTGAGGGCAGCAATCCTTCTGGGGCTGGGCACGGGCAGGGCAGGGCTCCACAGGCCATCGGTCAGGCAAGGGGCAGTAGGGGGCAGAAGGCCTGTCCGGGGAAGGCCAGGTTGTCCCCGGGTCACGGCTGAGAAGAGCACCAGGAGGACAAAGCAGCTCCCTGGAGTCAGCGGGTGAGTCAGGAGGAGCTCTGCCTGCATCACGTGACTGGGGCCTCGTCTCTGCACCAGGTGGCCCAGCTGCAGGAGCTCTACAGGGGATAGCAGGGACACTGGGCTGTTCAGTGGTGACTCAGGTGAGTGTCCACACAGGATGGGAGTGCCGCGCAGGTAAGAAAGGTAACCAATGCTTTCGGTGTCATTAGAAGACTAATAGAAATGAGGGGACTGGTTATGTGGAGGGGACGCGAGTAAATTGCCTTGCTCCTTCAAAATGTTGTCAACTGACGGTAGTTCTACAGGCTCTCTTACTGCTGCTTGAAAACGCGCAGCAGGAAAGCAGGGGCTGCCGTCCTTTGGAGAGGCAGGTTACCTCGGTCTTCACAGGCGATAAGTGCAGGCTTTAAAGAAATGCCTCCCAACATCCAAGACCAAAAATCGCGACAGTGGCCACAGGAGAAGGCAGACAGTTCCCGAGGCACTGAAAGCAGTTCGTGGGAAGGAGCCGATGGATGGGAATGGGAGCGAGTGGCCCTACTGAGGCCACTCAGCCCAATGCTAGTGACAGAGGCCTGAGCCCAGGTCTCCCAGTGACGGCCGTTCAGGGCATCTCCTGCTCTGCAGTGGGTGTCAGCTGGCATCAAGGACCCCGTTTCTAGGTCTACAGCTGACTAACAAAGTTCTCTGTCCCCAGAGATGAGGGTGTCCTGCTACAATCACCATCTAGCCACCTGACCAGCATGCACAGGGTGTTTTCAGAAAGGGCCCAGAGCTGCATCTCAGTGCAGTGCTGACGGGGGAGCTGAGCAAACCCAACAACCCCACTTTATAGAAGGCACATGTGTTACTTCTGTAAACATAAAAAGCAATAGAGATGTGTTAAAGGTAAAAAGAAATTTTCAACTGTCTCCTAAATGGATTTGTCTTAATTGGCGTTAACAAATTTGGTTTCTCAATTGTGCGTAAAGCTGAAATTTTAAGCCCCTTCTAATTGCAAGCAAAACCCAAAACCATATGAAAAATCTCCATTAAAAATACCTACAGTTCCATCGTCATTCATCTTCAAACATGATCCAAAGTCGGCCAGGCGAATGTGACCATTCACATCCAAAAGGACATTGTCAGGTTTAATGTCTCTGTTAGTAAAATAAATACAGAAAGTAACCATTTCCATGCAACAGCACACTGGATGGGTCAAAGCCCTTCACTAGTAGTGGATCAGCTGTAACAATCCAGGAGCTTCTCCCTGCCCTGGTTTAGCTGGGCTGGGCAGCAGGCCGCCACCACCACTCGTTTCCGTGCACCAGCCAACCTCCGACTAACCTGGTGAGTCACTCTTACTGTGCCCACCCACCCTCCACGCACTGACCCGTGTTTCCTGGCATCTCCTTTGTGCCAGGCGCTGCTCTCGACCCTGAACCCATTACAGATGCTGCCCACCCACCCCACAAAGCTTCACACTAGCTGAGGTGTCAGAAAACGAATGTGCAAATGCACAAATAGACGGTGGTCTCAGTACCACAGAGCACAGCCCACATGGTAAGTGCTATGACAAAATAGGAAGAAGCAGGAAACAAGGCCAAGGGGTAGAGTGGGGGGGGGGTGTCAGGTGGCCCTTCCCACCGAGGAAGAGACACCTGAGCAGAGGCTTGAGGAATAAGCGAGTCAGGTGAAGATGTGGGACAAGACCGCTGCAGGCTAACAAACCACCACGTACCCTCAAATTGTACGTTACAGTTAAAGACACGGAGGCCTACGAATTGAGTAACGTGCCCAGTTATAGAGCAGCCAGTGAGGGCGGGAAGTAATCTCGGGTCTCACTAAACCAGTGGTCTCACCTGCAAACACTGGGTGAAGGGTGGGGGGTGGGGGTGGGCTTAGAAGCACTAGCGATTCTTCCTGGCACAACAGCTTATAAGATTGGACAGCATGAACGGGAACATACTTAAAAGGATGTTCACCAAGGGGAGTACAAGTATGTTGCCAGCTGCACAGATCACACGAGCCAAAAGGTAGAATCCATATAACGTCCACTGCAGGAGAACGGACCACAAGCTGGGCTGGCCGCATGTGACGGGAAGTGACACCTCAATGGAAACAAATGACCAACTACTCCCAGCAACAAGATGAACCTCACAAACAAATGTGAGCAAAAGAGGAGAATTCTACCCAAAAAAGACCCACAAAGAAACTAAGAACTCTAAACCAAAAGATCCTTAAACACACACTCAGGAATATGAAAGAGAAAACAAAACAAAGCAATCCATCAATGAATCAGAAAAACAAAAGCTAAGAACAGAACTAGACAAAAAGAGGAAGAAATGAAGAGCTGATTTAATTCAGGGAAGAATCGAAGAAATAAAAGCTAAGCTGCAAGTTGCCCAAAGAAGAATAAATTCAAATAAAAATCTAATGAAGGGCACTGAAGAAGTGAAGGAAAAGATCTAGATGAATAAAAATGAGACAAAGAGAGAAATAAAAAGGGTCAGAGGGAAAGTAACTGGAGACTGAAATGAAGACAGGCAAAGCAGGCCCAACATACACATAATCAAAGTCTTTGAAGAAATCTAAATAAACATAGCTGATATGTGAAACGATAATCTGAGAGAACTTTCCAGAACAACAACAAAAAGACTTGGATCTACAGGCAGGGAGAGGTATCAAAAAAAAAAATTCAATGTCTTGTTTTTTTAGAGCAAGACAAACTGATATTGAAGTTCACATGAACAATTATCATGTGAGAAAAGCTAGAAAACACTGAAGAGAAAGAGGTGTGATGGGGACTAGCCCCGCATGACTTTAAGCCTCCATAATTAAGGCAGGATGGTCCTAGTGCCTGGAGAGACAGAAAGACAAAGGAATAGAACTGAATGGCCAGAAATAGCCCAACTACATAAAGAAATTAAGTATGTGATAAAGATGTTATCTCAAATCAATGGAGTGAAGACACAATTCAGTTGGTGTTGGGACAACTGGGCAGCCTTTTAATTAAAAACAAAATCAGATTCATTCCTTGTACTTTATAATAAACTCCAAATGGATCGGAGATCCATATATAAAAAATGAAACTATATGAATAAAAAATAAAACTATTAAAAGTTTCTCTGGGGATAAAAAAAAAAATTTCTAACCATGACACAAAATCCAGATGTAATAAAAGAAAAAGACCAATAAATTTAATACACAAGATTTTAAAAAATCTGCATGGCAGAAAAACCCAATAAACAAAGTAAAAAAATAAATGGCAACATTGGGAAAAACTACTTACAACATATACTGGGTCTTCAGAAAAGTCATGATGTATTTTGTCTATGTTTTTCAAAGGTCATTTATTTATATAAAGAACAAAGATCAATCAATGATATAGTGCCTGTTTTGTTCAATAATCTTTTGCCCTCTTTCAGTGAGCTTCATAATTCCTTGTTCATAGAAGGACCTGTCTTTATTTGAGAAAAACCAAACAAGGTGCTGATTTACAGCCTCATCTGAATTGAACGTTATACCACGCAAGGAGTTTTGAAGAGAGCGAGACAAGTGGAAGTCTGACAGCGCAAGGTCAGGTGAGTATGGCGGGTGTGGCAACACATCCCATCCAAACTCCAATAATTTTTGACGGGTGATCAAACTTGTGTGTGGTCTCGCGTTGTTGTGATGGAACACAACTCCTTTACAATTAACGAGCTCTGGACATTTCTGGATGATGGATTCGTTCAAACTGTCCAATTGCCAACAGTACACATTCAAATTGGTTGTTTGGTTCCTTGGTAGGAGCTCGAAAAACACGACACCTTTAAAATCCCACCACACTTGAGAGCATAACCTTCCTCTGATGAATGTCTGCTTTGGATGTCGTTTGAGGCAAATCGTCACATGGGGACCAAGATCGTTTGTGCACCACATTGTTGTAAACAATCCACTTCTCATCACCAGTTATCAATTGCTTCAAAAAAGGATCGTTTTCCTCACGTTTAATGAGCATATTGCAGATGTTTATATGTGCCATCAAATGAACTTCTTTGAGTTCATGCGGAACCCAAATATCGAGCTTGCTTACGTATCCCAGCTTCTTCAGGTGGTCGTGAACGCTTGAATGATGGATGTTCAATGTTTCTGCAATCTCTCGTGTTGTGTCACATGGGTTTGACTTGATCAATGCCTTTATTTTGTTGTTATCTACCTCGGTGGGCCTCCCTGACCGAGGAGCATCGTTGAGATCAAATCACTAGCACGGAATTTCGTGAACCATCGTTGGGACTAACGTTCTTGTAAAGCATTGTCACCATAAACTTTATGCAACTTTTCACAAGCTTGATGAGCATTCTTCCCTTTATGGAAGTAAAACAGTAAAATATGGCAAAAAAGCACAGTTTGGCCTTCCATCTTCAACTTGTTGTAAAATCTCCAAAACTCAACCAAATCGCTCAATTTTTTTTTTAGAATGAAGCTAGAACTGTCAGCTGTCAAATGACATAGCAATAACATAGGTGCGAATGACTCTAGCACTTCCAAAAAATGGACTAGTGTCATCTGTTGCAAACATGCATCATGACTTTTCTGAAGACCCAATATTACAGATAAAAAACAAATATTTCTTTAACAGTTGAAGGAAAAAAAACCCCCAAAGATCCTATAGAAAAATGGGCAAACGACATGAAATGAACAACATACAAAGACGTAAACATGAAGTTTGACTTCACATGACACCAAAAAAGAAAATTTCGACTGTATATCATCTCTCATTCATCAGATGGAAAAAATTCACAAATTTAAAAATAAAAATACACTATGTTGGCAAGGCTGCAAGGAAACAGGCACTTTCATACATTGCTGTACGGAATACAAAAAGGTATATTCTCTATGAAGGGAAATTAGCAACATCTAATAAAGCTAGTATTTTTAAAAAATAATATGCTAATATGTATCTAATATGTATTTTATTTCTCTGTTGGTCCAGTGGTCCTACTTCTAGGAATTTACCCTAAAGACAAACCAACAATACAAAAAAATATATGTACAAGGCTAGAAAACTGCACTATTTATAACTGCAAAATACCAGAAACTAGCTATCAATAAACAAATGTCCATCCACAGGAGACTGAGTCAACTCTGGTACCTGAAGATATGGAGGACTAGGCGAATGTAAAAAAGAATGGCGCTCCATGAACTGATACAGAATGATTTCTAGGATATATCGTCAACTAAAAAAAAAACCAAAATGCAAAAGTGCTTATTTAGCATGCTCCCTTTTGTTTAGTTCAAGGAGAAATAAGGAAATCCATTTGCTTATCTTTGCATGCGAGTGTGCACACACATGAGTGAGGTGCAGAAGACACGCAAGTGAGAGAGTGGGTGGGTTGGATGAGGAAGGAGTGACATTTCTCTGAGTATAACTTTGTGCAGTTTGGTTTCTGCTGAAACATGTTAATGTTGTACATACTCAAAAAATGAAATTAAATCAACAAAGAAGGGAAGGGGAGACTAAAATGGAAGCTGACTGAACCCAATGAGCCCAGCTATACTTCCAATGAGTAACATTAACAGCATTGAGGGAAATAGGGTTGGAAAAAACCCAACTTAAAGGAACTCAGGACACAGAACTGGCGTGTGCAGGTGGGGTGGGGTGGGGGGCACTGCACAAACCCTGAAATCTTTTCAGTAGCATGTGGGCAGAGCAAGTCTGAAGCTATTTCAGAGATGACAGGACCGGGCAAATTGAGTGCGTGATGTTGCTGGGAGCCAGCTGTGTCACCGAGGGAGACAAAACTGTGGAATGGGAAGCCGCCGGAGGCGAACGCATGATTCCCATGTTAGGTACAGGAACACGAATGTACACACGCATGTGCACCTACAGATACCCTCCCAACTCCTTCCACTGAGGGGGCCTACACACCCTGTAGTAATGGGCACAGCTGGCACCCAGGTCTCGGTCTTTAAAACCATTCCCCACTAACAGGAGATGCCTCAGAGAAATGAGTGGGGCAGGGAAGGTACGAGATGAGCCAGAAACTGAGGCAATTCTAACAGACTGAGGGAGTGTCACAAACACGGAAGTTAGACAGAAGGGGCTTCCCTGGCCAAACGGAACAACATGAGCACAAAAAGTGATGAAGACAGTGACGAAAAGAAAACGGGAGGAAAAAGGAAGCATGTACCCTACTGATGATAAGTAGGCAAACAGGAGTGAAGGGAGGTGCTTCGAGGTGCAGGGCCTAAAGTTTGGCTGTCACTCTGCAACCATCATGGTGAAGACTGTCCCAGGCAAAAATCGTCAATGCATACTAAATTTAGGGGGAAACTTTGAAAAGGAAGAGGATGTCTGCATGACCTTAAAGTGTCTCGTCCCTCCAGGTTGCTGCTGGATGCAGGAGGACGCACCGATGGGCCGTACAGGACAAACCCATCCTCCTCTTCTCAGGACCTGTGAGAAGCCTGCAGGGGAGGCAGCTCTGGGAAGGCTGGCCTCTTCCTTTTAAACCTTCCAGGGGAGGTCGGCTGCTAACATCTGCATGCTCTACTTTTGTTTTTTTAATGGCATTGGAGTTATTTGGGAAGTGTGATTCTATATTTAAAATATAATACCACCAATAATTTTTTTTTTTTACTGTGTATTGGCTATTTGTACGCAGGGAGGTTACAGAGAAAGGCCTCTGGGCGGAGCGCCACTGGAGGCACAGGGCGAGGACTGACCCAGAGCTCTGACCTGCAGCACTTCTTAGCTGGGCAGGTGTCCCCACACCACCGAGCAGCAGCCAATCCAAGGGCTGATGGTCCCTGTGGGCCACCACCAGGCTTGTGACCAACCCAGCTCCTTCTCCCTCCAAAGCCCAATGGTGGCAGCATTTTCAGGAAAGAGTCGGCACAGGGCTAAGCAGCGGCTCCAGTCACCCGCGAGGGCCTTTTCTCTCTCGGCTACTGTGACTCTGCTTCAAAACAGTGGTACGGGGGCAGTGTCCGGCCATGGACGCAATGCGGCCTGATTTTCCTTTCCTGTTCTTCCCGACACGCTGAAAGGGAAGCCTATTCCATCAACCCCTGTCCCGTCTCCGAGTGATCTGTCAGCATCAGCTTCCAACCTCACCCGAGGAACTTCTGCTGCAAACCCAGTAAATGTTCGGTGGTGGGTCAGGCGTGGTGCCCAGTGCTGCGCAGACGGGCAGAGCCACTCTGACCAGCTGCCCTCTCCCCAGTTCTCCATCTTCGTTGGAGTTCCTCTGCTTTATCTTCCACCTCTTCTACTCAGCTTTCTATTTCGTCCAAGGCCTTCTTTGTTCTCTGAATATTGCTTCTCCTAAAATTGCACCTGCTCTTATTTTCTTCCTCAGATGTATACTCTCTTCTCTCTGGGGATGCGACGTTCTCCGTCTGCAATCCTGTGTATCTGTCACTCTGTTTCAGCCTTTACTGGTCGCCCAGCTGACCCCTCAGCAAGGGGCTGTGCCCCCCGTGCAGTCCTAGCGCCGCACTGCTTCCGTGTTCAGTGAGCTTCTCAGGTCGCAGTTGTCTGCCTGCCGATGCCCCAGGACTGCCCTCAGGACTGACTGCTTATAAAATCTGACTTTAAGAGCTTTCTAGCACAAATGCAATCTTTGTGTTTTTAGACTGGGTCATTCAAGCACTTAGGCTGAATACTGAGTTAATTCTGAAGGAAGAAGTTTTTGAATTATATATTTTAATGTCTTCTACTATGCCTGGCGGTGAAATGACAGAGCAAAGCTTCTACACAGCCAATTAAGAAAATGAGGAGAAAGTTTTCTAATTAGGGGAAAATAGGAAAAGACTAAACTATTAAATAGGTGGTAAATTAATTTCCCTGGAGACGTGTGACAAATACAAAGACACTGATCACTGATGTGAATCAGGCACAATTCTGTCAAGAAGACAGAGTATAAAGTCTAATGTTAAAAACTATTATTACCACTGTTATAAAAGCATACATAACTAAATTAAGAATACATGAAGAAGAGAAAACCACTGTCCCAAACCACACTGCCATATAAGAATGACTATTATTTGGAGGCAGTTAGTTCCCTGGACTTGCTCTGTGACACGGGAACCGGGGCCGAGGGATTTGACAGGAACATGTGGCCCAAGGCAGGCTTTTTCATCTCGCTGGGCCTCAGTTTCCTTCCCGTGCTGTAACACCGGGCGGGAAGGTGCCATCCCTACCCTCAGGGCAGAAAGTCCTAAAAGGCTGCAGAGGCCGGGCCAGTGGGGCCAGTGGGACGGAGTGGGGTCAGCGAGCGACCATAGTGCGTGCCCAGAGAATCCTGATGGCCACATGAAGTGGGGGGGGGGGCCAGGGGGGCACAGGAGCAGACACCTCCATAGTGCTAAGAGGACGGTGACTTCCAATCAAAAATGGCCTACTGGATAATCTATCAGTCATGTAATGGGCAGCATTATGTCACAGATCTCAAAACGATCTCACACACCTCTTTTCCCAGAAATACTGGGAGATGAATGCTACCAAATCAAAAGAATAAATCAAGATGCCACGTGACTCAGCCCCAGGGAGGTGGGAGGGAGAAAAGATGTCAGGATGAGAACAGTCCACAAGGGCGGGGAGATGAGGGAGGGGCTCCAAGAAAGTGCAGGACTGAGGCGACCTGAGACACGTCTGAACGTGCACAGCTTTAGCGTCTGCTCATAATGTCGGGCGATAATTAGTGACAGCTACACAAAAAAGTAGACTAATGAAAAAAACAGGGCAATTATTAACCCCAGAGGAAATGAAAATTTATATAAAGAAGTGTAACTATTTATACTACAAGGCTCATCTGTAACAGTTACACAGTTATTATATCATAAACAAACACCGTGCACTGATTTAACCAAAAGGTATTATTGCTATTTCACTGACTGGGACACTCTGGGAGAGGGAAGATGCAGAGTATACCTGCTGGGGAGAGGGGTGAGAGAGAGGCACTTATGTCAAAGGTGAAATCTCCATTTTAATGGATGTGATCTAAACCTCCCCTCCCCACAAAAAAGAAAACGGCAACCGAAGCCTGGCATTTAGAAATATGAAGGGAAACAGCAGAAGAAACAGCTTAAAAAGTTGACAACAGTTACCCGTGGCAAGTGGAATCAGGGCAGGGAGGGCTGGAGACCCCTGTTTTCTTATATAAGCCCTGCAGAACTATTTGACTTTTTAAAACTACTGACATGAAATTACTTTAATAAAAATAAAACAAATCAAAAAACCCCATAGGACTAAACAGTTGTCTTAAATAGCAGGAGGAGATGGACGCAAAGGTCCAGGCTGGGTGAGGCTAAGGTCACTGTCCTCCCAGCAAGCGGGTGGGCAAAACGGAGGGAACAGGGTGACCAGGAGGGGGACCTGTCTCCCGTTTTGACCCACACGACCCTCCTCAGGGGGCGTCACGCTCTTACTCAAGTTGCTGTGGCGTGTGCCCCTCTCCTCAACCCCATCTTCCTTTGCTGAGTATTTTGTGGGGTGATCGAGCCATGTGCCCTTAGGGTTGGCGTAAAACAGGGAAGTGGAGACACAGTGGGATGGGGACCCCGCATGAGCTCTGGGGGGGCATGCAGGGGAGGCAGTGAGCTCATGTCCAGTAAATGCCATAGGACAAGGGGGCTTCAGCTGGCAACACTTAGACATCACAACTGTCACAGGCAAGGGGTTTAAAGGTGGTGACCTGGGGAAGCCGCTCCGCAGGGCAGCAGCTCAAAGTGAGGACTTGCTAAGTGCGTGACTTTTCCGGAAGCCTGGAACCCGGGGTCTATGCCTCGGACCCTGAAAGGACCATTTTAACACATTAAATGGGGTTTCCACAAAGTAGGTAAGAAGGTGATTACCTGTGCACGTAATGAAGCTGATGGATAGAATCGATGGCCAACACCATCTCACCAATGTAGAATCTTGCCATGTCTTCTGGAAGTTTGTCTTCAAACTTACTGAGCAGGGTCAATAGGTCACCACCCACATAGTAATCCATGACCAAGTACTACAAGTCGGGAGAGAAGGGGAGAGAATACAATGTTCAGTCCCCACTAACCCCGACAGGCAGAGGCCGAACTGCCAGCGCGAATATCCTCTGACTTCAAGTCTGCATGGGTGGCTTCCCAGTGGCTCCTGTCACCCATGACGTCCCCTCTCAGAACACGCTCTCCGGTCCATCAGAACGCGGCTGGTTTTAAGTCATGCATCCAGCAAAGAACAAACTTCAACAATGTATTTAATCAATGGAAATGACTAAAGAGTTCGATGTCAGAGGAGGCACTCCAAATGCTAGTGGCCCAAAGTGGACGCACAGCGAAAAGCCCATTAAGTTCTATGGGGTAAAAAATAATTTCCCAGACCCTCATGTCACAGGAAGAAGACAATGGGCCAGAGAAGGGACCAAACTTGCAGTTCTCACAAAATGGTATCATGAACAAGCTGAAAAGTATCAGAAAATCTATGGCTTAAGCAAAAATTAAAGTAACGAGAGGAATGCCCAAAGTGCTGGGCGTGCTCTGCCAGAAGGCCGAGCCCGTGCCGTCCCTCAGAGCTCACCTGCCCCTGCACTCTGGAAGCTGTGATAAAGGCAGCCCAGGGGCCGAGGACACCCTGAGCGGGACACCTCACTGGTCAGAGGGGCCCGCAATGGGTGAGACTGTCACAGCTCTTGGGAATCACCTGCCTTGATGACAGTTTCCTTTTCAGAGATGGATGCTCTGGCCTGAGCAGTTAACTTGTTAACTTTTAACTAATCAACACAGAGGAAATACCACTGCCTGAGAAACGATCATTCACTATTTACTGAGAAACAGATGATAACCGCCCCACTCAGCCAGCAGCCATCGCGCTCCGTGACATGGCCGTTACCTGTTAACCCTCAGACTGCCCCCCTCACAGGTACGAGCACCACCCCACTTTACAGGCTGAAGACATGCCCAAAGTCACGCAGCTAGCAAGTGACAGCTAGGATCTGAAGCCACGCCGTGGGCTCCAGGCCCATCTTAAACAGGAGGCTGCAGAGTCTCCTAAGAAAGGAAACGAACCACCTTTCAGTCGGGCTTGTCTGAGGAAGGTAGGGAAGCCTTCATATCAGGTCCCTGTTCTCACTCACCATGTCTTACCAACAAACCCTCTCATCCTGCCTCAGAGCTCAGCTCTCAAGACTCACCTCACTGACCCCTCGTCTGAGAAGCCCCCCGCCCCAAGGCCAGCCTCAGCCAGACCTCCGCCCGGCCTCACGGCCCTGTGGCCTGACCCTTCCGGTAACAGTGAGTTTTCAGAGCAGGAGTTCTGGGTCAATCATTTTGTCTCCCCCACACCGTGTTATACAGAAGACTCTCAAGGGGTGTTCACTCGCTCATCCTCTCAGTAATGAACTTGCTGGCACCCCTTTAGGTGACAGGTACCTCCTCTACAGAGCTGACATGGAGCAGAGGGAGAGAGACCAGACAAGCATGGAAATGAACACAGTGAGCTCAGAGTTACAGGTGCCAGGAAGAACACTGAACCGCCCAGCAGGCACAGCACCACCTGGCCGACAGGCAGAAGCCGGCCGTGGCCCGGGCCCGGGGTCGTGTTCCAGACAAAGGGACAGGTGCAGAGACCGAGAGGAGAATGAACGTGGCCGCTGGAAGAAGGGGAAACAGTGACGATGGCTGGAGCGTGACAGGTGAGGGGGATGAGGCCAGACCCCACAGGCCTCCGTGCGCGGCCGGGGAGCTGGAATCTGGGTTATGGGTAACGTCGTCCTCTGACCACCCTGTGAAGAATGGACAGGAGGAGAAGGAGCAAGAGCAGAGCTGGCCAGAGGGCCAGAGGCCGCGACGTGGTCCAGGCAGGAGACAGGTATCGTAGACACCTGGAGGAGAGACCATAGCCCCTGTGATGGACACACAGGGTGAGGGGCACTCAGGAGAATGAACAGCCACGGTCTTTGGCCCTAAAGAAAGCCGAGCCTCAACGGTTTCCATGTCCACATAGAAATCTCCCAAAGGAAAAGAAACACCGTATTATCAGTGCTAAACGTAGTGGATGGGCTCCTGGAAAACAAGTTTATAAGGACAAGAATTGTAAGGGCTCATAAGGCAGACAAGCAGAAACTTTATCTTTTCGCTTATAAGAACTGCACCAATTACTTCCTGTCACATAATGTAGGACTCTGAGCTAAGCCAGTCAGGCAACACCCTTTTAGTTACTGGTAAAACAGGTTTCATTTTATGAAACGCTGCGCTGCGTTTGGCCACCTCCACTGGAAGCTCAACATGAGCGAGCTCAGCAGGGTGGGCTCTGCCTGCAGGCGCTCAGGCTGTGTGCGCCTTCCTCCTCACCGTCACCTAGCAAGGCTACTACCTAAATACACCACCGCGGGCGGCAGAACGAGTGCCAAGCCTGGTCCGCCCACCCCGTAACCGGCACGAGAAAGCGCCAGAGCCCTGGCCTTCCGCTCGCTTTAATTTTCACTGTACTTCTAATTGGGCAACTCCAAAAACTCAAGAACGCTAGAATTCCTGACTGTTCCAAGTTAGAATAAGCTGGTAATGCCTCATGTTTCAGACAGCGACATGCTATGCTGACCTCAGGAAAAGTATGAGAGACAAAAAATGTTGTTTTCCTTCTGGACAGAGCCGTGTTGCCTAGCACTCCTTAGAAACCTCATGCACTTCTTATCAAAACAGGAAACGAACTGGAAACAGTCCACTCGGAGGAGCAACACCAATCCAGGAAGAAGGGGTTTACATGCAGATGGCCCCCGAGCACGAGAATGCTGCTGCCTGCCAGGGGAGGGGCACCGGCACCTCTCCTGCCAGCAGGGCCAGGCTGGGTCCTGACACCATCCTTGTGTCTGCGATATCGTGGACAGCTGACTGCCTCTCCTTGCCCCAGACACCCCCTTTACAACATGATGAAAATAATGAAAGCCTAACCCACTGGGACACCGGGAGGACTGGGACAACCCACGGCCCAGTGCTCAGTAAACACCAGCTGCCCCCTCTCATTTGTTGAAACAAATATCAGTCTTTTCAATTCTAAACAGAGAGTAAAACAAACTGTTTTACCTAATTGTGGATGTTTGAATCTAAGGAGTTTCTTTGATGTTTGAAAGAGATTATTTTAAGATTAAGAGATCCTACACTACGCCACTTGTGAGTAAACAGAGTCTGTCACCGAGAATAAGCTCATAGTCGGCTGTTAGAGAGAGAACACAGCACAGGTTCCCACCCTGAGGCTGCAGGGACCCTTGAGGGCCACACGCTGGCCGAGGAGCAAGGTCTGAGCTGGCCTCTGTCCACCCAGAGCTCCACGGGTGGACTTTTCAGGTTTAGGCAAAGCTGGAAAGTCATTTCGGAGTTAAAGTGCTGACAGCAGTTGTGACTTGCTCTGGTCCTGGCTTCCGCCGGCCGTTTTGACTAGCCATCGACGCACGCATGTCAGTCAGAGCTCATCAGTCAATACTGAAAGCAAACCCCTGCTCAAATCAGAAGACTAAACAGATGACAAGGACATGGAAACACAGTCACCCAAACACTGTCAGGAGGCCTCCCGGAGGCCAGCTCACCTGCTGGGGGCTGCAGACCCAGCAGGGAGCAAACACCCACTCGGTGTACAGGGCTGGCATCTGAAATCCCACAGCAGCTTCTTATTCTTATGTCTAATTCAAAATAGAAAATATCTGAAATCCTCAGTTTATTTACATGTAACAAACCCAGAGAACAAAAACCAGGTTATCTAGTGATTGGAGAATAACAAGTATATAATGTCACAAGTCTATTTTTTAAAAATCCACATGACAATCACTACATTAAAACAAACCCCTTAGTTTTAGCGAGTCAAATATATATTTAAACAAAGTCCGTTCCCACTTGTCTTCTCATTTTTTCAGTGACCGCACCAAGGAATCAAATAGTCAGCAAACGCCACTGGATGGGGTCTTAAGCTCTGGTGGCGCGGACGTACCAGGTAATTCTCGTCCTGAAAGGCGTAGTGCAGTGTGGTGATCCACTGACAGTCCCCATTCACCAGCACGTCTCGTTCCTCTCGGAAACACGCGGTCTGCAAAGAACCAGAAGGGAGTCAGCGTGTTTCCACCTGAAAAAGCACCCTGCAGAGCACAGTCCTGGACAGAGGGGCCCCTGCGGCGACAGAGGCTCTGGTGGGTGTCATCTGCCTTCCAGGCCACAGGGAGCGTGGCCTCCCTCGCTCACTGGAACCAGAGGTACCATCATTCACAACCCCCCCACCCCCCACAGCTCCCACAATGCCTTGGGATGCACCAGCTGAAAGTGGGCGCATTCCTGTTCTTTCCTGCACCCCACCCCCACGCAGACTTCCAGGTGGGCCCTGCACCTACCCCTTGCACACAGGCCATTTCTATGGCCAACACTACAGATTAAACCTGGCTCGTGGCGGGGTAGGGCTGTGCAGCAACAGCTTCCCAGTGAGCCCCTCCTGCCCAGCGTCCCCTGGCTTTACCAGGTCAGCCTCTTTAGGCAGCTGGTGTGACCACACGCTGCCCCACATGTCTGCCCCTCTCTGTGACAGGCTCAGAGTTTAGCAGCCACACGGCTGACAGGACAGGACACACATCTGCTTACGGATCTGAGTTGGTTATTTATTTTTTTTTTAAAGATTTTATTGGGGAATCGGGGAAGGGAAACAGCCAAGTTGCTGTCCTTTTGTTCTTCAGTCTAGTTGTGGAGGACGTCGCTTCACTGGCCCATGTTGGTATTATCACTGCGCTCTTCCTGGGTGAGGCAGTTGCTCGCCGGCCATTGGATGGCCACTCACGGCGGCTCACAAAAACGCACGCCGGCTGCCGGCCAGCGCCACTGCAGCCTACGCCATCACTGGTGACTCACGGCAGCACAGCTCCAGGTCGAGCTGTTGTTCACCATCTTAGCTGTGGAGGGCAGCGTCACTGGCCCTCATGTGGGATCCGAACCGGGGCCCTGCTGCTCAGAGCTGGCGCTCCCAAGCCAACTCTTAACCAATGCGCCACTTGGCCAGCCCCTGTACTGGTTTTTTAAAACCAAACATGCTGAACTAGAAGCCCAGCCTGGGCTGCAAGTTATGAACTTCACTGCTTTGCAACTTTCCTACTGCCGCCTCTTGCCGATGTCATGCTTTTAAAGAAGACATTTAGAAGGCAATAGTATACAATTTCATGTTTAAAATAAGCCTACTAAATAAAAGGGTACACTACTTTAACCAGCCTTTTCTATCTCTATATATTGTATCTGCATATCCATCACACACCCTGACATATTCCATCATATATATTTTAAGATAATCATCACGGTTAGCAGACATTCTTGGACTTTCCTGAGTATGCCAATTAAACAGGACTTGTGTCACCAAATTTAAATTAAACAGGAATACTTATTCTTAAAATGTACTCACTCATCCAACATGACATATGGGTAAATACATACTAACTATCATAAAGAGAGAATCACCACTCCCTAACATTAGGACAGCCATCATTTTTAAAATTTACACACACACACTCCGGAGGTTAACATAACAAGTCATGTTAAATATGGCTCAGCTGTCTTCTTTCATAAATCAGTCACTTCCATAAAAACATAAACCTGAATGGAATTTGCTACGACTGTTTCTTTGTCCAAACTTCTATGGAGTGGTAGCTACTTCTTTTCCCCAGATTTTCCTGCCTTCGCCAAGGTGTCAGCGGTGACATGAAGGGCGGCTGGGGCCCAGGCCGGCAGACATGGCAGTGAGACAGTGAGGGTGGAGAGGACAAGATGAGTGGGGCGAGGATGAGGCTGTGGAAGGCCGGTGGTTGAGGCAGTCATGGACCACCAACACTTTGAGCCCAGGTGACGACAAAAAACGGTCATTGGGCCAGCTGAGTGGCGGGTTGGTTAAGAGCTGGCTTGGGATACCAGCTCTGAGCAGCAGGACCCCGGTTCAGATCCCACATGAGGGCCAGTGACACTGCCCTCTGCAGCTAAGATTGTGAACAATAGCTCCACCTGGAGCTGAGCTACCCTGAGTCGCCAGTGTCGGTGTAGGCTGCAGTGAGGCTGCAGTGGGCTGCTGTGAGTGGTTGGCAGCTGGCGTGAGCTGCCAAGAGCCATTGTGAGCAGCCATCCAAAGGCCGGCAACCGATCTGCCTCACCCAGGAAGAGAGCAATGATAATACCAACATAAGCCAGTGAAGCGACGTCCTCCACAACTAAACTGAAGAACAAAAGGACAGCAACTTGTCTGTTCCCCTTCCCCCAATTCCCCAGCGCTGTTCCCCTCCCCCAATTCCCCAATAAAATCTTAGGAAACAAACAAAAACAGTCATTACACAATCAACCAACATGCACTGGTGAGCAATAAATGGGCATGAGGCCTCATGCTGGGTGCTATAGCAGGGACAGGAAACGATGGACAGGTGGGAGGACAGCCAGAGTGACCAGACAGGATGGACGAGACGTGCTAGTGGGAGGCTGGAGGATACCTACTCATGGTGAAAACCCAATGCTCAGAAGAACAATCTGACTTAAACCAAAGGTTTGTACTGTGATCTGCCCAAGGTGGCAGCTATCATAGGGACATGAATTTCAGAGCAAAAGAGGAAAGGAGGGTTTACAGTGATAGTATGAGAGAGGCTATAAACGAAAGCAGGAATTTCCAAAAGGAAGAGGTGGCCAATTCTAGAGGGGAGAGCTCGCTGAACCAAGGGCCTGCTTAGCAACTGTGGGGTAAGGGGGAGTGTGAGTGAGCCACACTGCCACAGATGGGACAGGTGCTAAGTGCACGCTGGCAGGGGGCGTCAGCTGAGAGGACAAGGGCAAGGAATGGAGATAGGAAAGGAAGGATTCTGGCTCTCTGAGGCACAGGGGAGGAACATAGAGGGTAGGGGGATGAAGACAGAAGCTGAGGCAAGCACGGGGAGGTGAGTCTGGAGGCACCCAAAGGAGAAGCTGGCAGGCCTCGCTGTGTCAGCTGGGGCTGCTCATGGGGCTGGGAAGACGGGGTCGGGGCATGAAACAGCTGTGGCACGGTGGCCACAAAAGAAAAAGGACCGCAGACTGCCAAGTGGGAGTCATCTACTTTTATTTGTAATTTTCGTTCCCCCTCTAAGAGGGAATATAAAAACACTCCTGGACTAAGTAGGCTCCACTCAATCACTGCTTTTACATATGGAGAACTGAGATAACTGCCTCAAGTTCCCACAAAGCTGTCCTTTGCCCTTCCAGGTAACACCAATCTGGCCGGTAGACTCAAACAGAGCAGAGCACGTGGGAGGCGCGCTGGAGGGGGCGCAGACCCTGGAGACAAGGGGTGCCCTTGTGTCCTGGGGGGCAGGCCCACACTTGGGATGGCCTCACGGCCCATCTCACTCGCCCCTCACAGAAAACCCTTTGCGTGTTTGTTTCCTCAGCACTCCATGCCTACCTCTGCTCTTTTAAGCATTTCCCACTTGTTGAGGATTTTCATGGCATAAATTCTTTCAGTGTTCTTCATTTTGACAACAGCAACCTGGAATACAAATGGGAGTTGCACAAAAATTTAGTTAATGAAACAAAAGGCCAGCGCATTTGCATATCACCACAGTGAAATCTTAATTGCCTGGAAACCCAGGAAAAGGAGCTGCTAAGGAAAGGAAAGTTTTCTATGTAAGTAAAGATTTGCCCTTTTAAGCATCAAAACTTCATTTTAGCCACAGTGCAACTTGAATGGTCTCACCCACCCAGTTCAGAAAACTCCAAAGCTCAGCACTAGGTGAATAGGGGTTCACAGTCCTCTACTTTGGGGTGTGTCTGGGAGTTTCATAATAAAACTTTTAAAATTTGTCAGTGGTCCCCAAGCTTCCATCCCTGCGTTCACGGGCTCCCCCGTCACGCTCATTCCTACTTGCCCAGGATGCTCAGGTGCCTAACTCTCTCGTTTCATTTAACATGCTCAGAGCGGTGCTAGACACTGTTAGTACTCAGCGTGTTGGCTGTCAGCCATATTCTTTCAAGTACAACTCACATGCCACCTCTTCCAGGAAGTCCTCTTGGATCCTGGTCCCCGCCAAATCTTGAATGTGTTCTTCCATCGCCACCAACACCAGATGTGATGTTTGTACCATCATATGCACTTTCTCCCCTCTTTAAACTAATCATTCATTGGCCTAAGTCTCCACCACAAAACCGAAAGCTACATCTTGGGAATCATAGGAATTTCTGTACCTTTTTGCTGCCAATGGCTGGCAGCCCAACAGCAGGTATGGAATGAAGCGTTCTTAAGTTATTTCCTTCCTTGCTTTCTAAACAACATATACCTCAGTGACATCGTCGAAGTACTCATGAAACTACCATGCACTGAGCACTTTCCACGTGCCGGGACCAGAACTAAACAACTGATTTGCACACTCTCAGTTAATCCTCACCACAATTCTTGATAGTTGGTATTTCTGACATTCATATTTTACAGTGGGATCTGAGGCTCGGAAGGGTTAGATAACATGCCTATCACCCTCAGGTGGCTGCTTTTAAAGACTGTTATAATGACGGTCATAATTAAGTATGATCTCCCATGGGCATGAAGGTGGGGAGTCCTGATGGGACCCCTGGCTTGGCATTAGGAAAGCATAACCCAACTAAAACCATTTGTGAAGGGCACTTCTGGTCCCAGCACCGATAAAGAGTGTCCTCAGTTCTGTGATCCGCTTGGCGCCGTCAGAGACAGAGAATCTGAAACTGGGCACATTTCAGGTGTGTGATTACAAGACTATCCCAGGAGGCAGTGGCGGGGTTCCAAGATTCTAGTTATGGCCAGGGAGGAGAGGCAAACATGAGCAGGAACCCCAGACTGGATGAATGGCTGGGTGGCTGGAGAGCCTCGGTGAGGAGCGCTGGCGTGCAGAGCCCGGGCCACAGGGCCAGGGCAGGATGGCGGGAGCGTTGGGGGTGGGTACAAATAAGCCGGAAAAGCCTGAGAGGGAGCAAGAGCAAAGGAGAGCTCCCGGGGCGCTGCACAGGCCTGGGCGAGGGCGAGACCCCCTTGATTTGGGAGGAACGCGCAGGTAATCAGTGTTACCTTCTTCGAAACACTGAAAACCGAGTTTTACATTAAGTTCTTTGGCAAAGAGGGGCGCTAAAAATGACCATAAGCGATTTTGGCACACTGTTCTCTTGGGTTCTTTCATTCTTCTCCTACAGGTGTCGCTCTCAGGCCCTGGCGTTCCTTGCTGCCCCTCTGGCACACTCTAAGGAGGGCACTGTCACTGCAGAGCCTGGACGGACCTGGGCCTTGCTCACTGCTTGGCACACAGAGGACAGTCGGGAAAGTACAGACTGGATTGAACTGGGTTTAATTTCAACAGGACCTCTTCCTTCTCACTAAACACCACCAAATACCGCACCTCACAGAAACTACCTGTAGCTCAGAGTTGTTATTTCTACACAGAACTCAATTTTTCCCTGCGGTTCCTTTAAATGACGTTCCCAGTTGGTGGCACTCAGAAAAGCCAGATGGGTGGGGCTTCTGGGGGTGGGGTGGGGGTCTAGAAAGGAACAGGAGGAAATTTTCTAGGGGACAGAAATGCTCTGTATCAATTGGGGTACTGGCTACCCAGGTGTAGACATCTGCCATGACTCAAAATGTACATTTAGATCTGTGCATTTTATGTGTAATTAAGGTATAATTATACCTTAATATTAAAAAAATCCAAAACCAAAAACCTCCCTGTTCCCATCCCAGTCCATGGTAAATTGAATTTGGCTGAGGAGTCCCGGATCCGGGGAAGTTCTGAGGTAAACCTGGAACTCGGTCAGCCTCGGTGGGCCTGAGAGGAGCTGCCTACCCAGGGGGCACCGCAGCCCCCAAGCAGCCCCCTCCCTTGCCCCTTGGTGAGACTCACTCTCAGGGACAGGGCAGGAGACAGGGATGGGGATGAGATGGGGGCCTGTCAGAGGACTCGGGCCAGGGCGGCAGCTTCCAGGGAAGAAGTGAGGACACAGCAAAGAGCGTCCCCATGCCCTGGGCCAGCCAGAGGTTCTCCCTCAAGTCCCTAAAGCATTTCGGAGGAGGATTTTCATTTTGCGTGTCCTGCTGAAGCCTGCAGATAAAGCAGGGGTGCCATCAGTGCCTGTAGCAAAGGAATCACGAGAATAGTGGGGTGTTTTCTGAGATACATCATAGGTCTTGTTTCCACTCAGTCGTCACACAAGATATTTGAGAGCCAAGAAGCTACCATGTGGAACTGCTGCCTACTTCCCGTCCTGCCTGCGGCACATAAAGCATGTGCCCTGCACAGCAAGTGCCCCCTCCCGTTCTGTGACACTTTCTAGTCATGCCCAGTAGGCTCGCAGTCAGGCGGGGCACAATGCTGCTGTGATGTGACACAGTGTTTTCTCGCTGGATTTTCCTCAGTGAGCAACACACACAGGCGTCCGGCCTGGGGAGCGGAAGGTAAAGCCGAGATAGAGGAGTTAACATGTTCCAAGTTGAAGAGGCAAAGCTCTCAGGGTGACTCACTGTGAAGCCACCTGGTCCCAGGCGGCTGAGGGAACAAGTGCCTCTGCCCCGCTGGGCAGACCACTGGCCCTCGCCTCGGCCAGAGAGGCTGCAGGACACAGGCGGGGACGCGCGCCATCCCCGAGCTGCCGCCCAGGGCAGGAAGGACTGCAGGCAGCACACGGCCTTCGCGAGGGACCTGCTGGGTCTGCTCTCTTCCCTAACGGCAAAGCGACCGGACACATAACCAGCAGGGGACTGGTGGCAGCAGCCACAGACAATCGGGACAACAGTTATTTTACCCTCCTTGCATTTTAAAGAAAATTTTCAATTAACAAATGGATTTTTTAAAAACATATTTGTCTGTAAGAAACTATTTTGGTCCACATGATATTCTGGGTAATTCGCCAGTCACAAGCTTTTGTTTTTATTCTTCTCTTCTCAATTCTACCCTTTAGATTTTGTTCAAGAACTCTCCAAATGATACTAATAATTACTTCATCCCCAAATCAATGTAAGAACCACAGAAATGCTACATGGGAGCTGTTGAGGTTTGGGAAAACTATGCAAAATTAACAAAATGAAGCTTATCTTACTTACCTCACCAAAAGCCCCTCTTCCGATTACTTTAATTATTTCGAAGTCTTCTCGATGAAGCTGCATTTCCTTCACCAGTTGTGTAAAAGGTTTAGCTACAAATTTAAAAAGCAAAGTTAGCCATTTACTCCAATACATTGATACTACATAAAAACTTGATTAGGGTATTCCACTAAATAATACTTTTAAAAAACAATGTTTACTTTTTAAAATGTTTAATATCTGTAAAGTTTTAGAAAGTCAGTATTCACACTAAATCAGGGTAGATGTTGATCATTAGCACCGACATGTCAATACCTGTCTGTCCCCACAGAGATCCCCTGGCAGGAATCAGGAAAGCTAAGCTGTGCCCCTCAGCTGCTACCTCAGCAACTGACAGCACATTCTGGTCTGTTCTGCAACAGCTGTAACTGATGTGAGGTAGCAGGTGCTACCTTGCCAGGTGAGCGAGCTCTGAGCTCACCTGTCAGCTCAGCCAGAGCCACAGGACAGCTGAGGGAACATGACACAGTTTCCGAGACAAGGGTGGTCTCAGAAGCACAAGCAGCACCCCTGGACAATGTAACCGATCTTAACAGTCCCATGGCGCCCCTCCCAGTAACCCAGCTCAGGGACTGGGAGAAGCACGTCACTCTGCACTCATGCGTCCCACACATCCACTCTTTGGGACTAATTCCATTATGATCCACATTTTGGGGAGGAGAAAACAGCCAGGTTTCTGTGGAGAGTGTACTGGGCTAAACAGTCCCCCCAAAATCATGCCCACCCAGAAGCTGTGATGGGACCTTATTTGGAAGTGGGGTCTTTGTAGATGTAATCAAGATAAGGACACAAACAGGAATGGGATGAGCCCTAAATCCAACATGACTGGGGTCCCTATGAGGACAGAGACAGAGGGGAAACGCCATGTGAAGCTGGAGGCCCAAACTGGAGCAGTTCAGTTACAAGCCAAGAACGCCAAGGACTGCTGCTGAGAGAGACTGAAGTTTAGCCATCCCAAAATATGCCTTTGGGATATTGATTTTAAGCTGGTTATTAAGAAACAAAGACTGAGAAAGAACCTTTGACCCTCCCTCCTTACGGGCCTAAAGGAATTCGGACAGGAAAACCTGCGGAAAGGGAGGGGGCATCACTTCCCGTCAGTGTCGCGGCGTTTGCTCCTCCTCACCACCTGTAAGTCACCTGCTTTCCCTTTGGACTCCCAGACCCCTAGCTCCCTCTCCTTAGTCCAGAATGGCATAGAAACCTCAACCGACCAATGCCTCTTCGGATCTCCTCTTCCTACGGCACGCCGCCACATGTACATCTGTAAAAAGTTTGGGAATTTTCTCCTGTTAATCTGGCTCATGTGAATGTGATTATCAGCCCAGCTAGAAGGACCCAGAAGATGGGAGCAAAATCAAGTTTCGTGCCCCACACCAGTACCACCGGAGGCTGGAAGAGGCAGAGAGGGCTTCTTCCCTAAGAGCCTTAGAGGGCACAACCCTGCTGACGCCTTGACTTTGGACTTCTGGCTCCCAGGACTGGCAGAGAAAAAAACCTCTGTTGTTTGAAGCCCCCAGTTTATGCTAATTTGTTACAGTAACCCCAGGAAACGCTCCAGAGAATCTGTGTAATTTCTTTCCAGGAACATGGAGCAAATGGCAGAGCTAGGCCCAGAAGCCACGCTTAACTCCAGACCACCGTCCATTTAGTTCCAACTCTTACACCTGTTCTTACTGTCACCTTCGGGCCCAAACCCATGTTTTATGCTAACTTTTGATTTGTTCTATATAGCTCTTTTGCAAATCCTCCACTACTAGTTTTGCAAAACGCCCCCATTGGGGAAACTGGGCAAAGTGTCCCCAGGCTCTTCCTGTGTTGTCTCTTCCGTCTACATCTGTGTCTGTAATTATCTCCTTCCACCCGCTGTCTGACACTTGCTGGGATTCTGGTTGAGCTCCACAGTATTCATCTAATTCTATACCGTTTCTCCTTAAATAGTTGCCTAATACCATTAAGGTTTGATCCCCGGGGTCCAATGAACATGGTAACAACAGTCAAAGCCCAAAAGGTCCTTGGTGCCGACCGACAGCGAATTTCTACCCCCATCACTACAAATGCCCTGCAGCCCAGAGAGGAGGAAACACGACACACAGGGCCTGCATTTTTGTAAAGGCCAGGGTAAAGAAAACCCTTGAGCTAGAACTTAAAGGTCATCCCTGATTCATCTTTATTTCCTTCAAATATCACCAAAAAATAGCCATTCCCAAAATTCCTAATGGAAATATGTGTTCTAAACTGCTACCGAAGACCACAACCTCTCTCGGTATTTTTGAGGGAACCAAGTGGTACCTTTCATTTTACCGTGAAGAAAAACAATCCCAATTATCTAATTAGTTCTATTTTAGCACCGGAGAGAGCATCTGAGAAGGAAATGACGCCGACCAGCTCTGCATCCACTATCACTATAGGACCACTCACTCTGGCAGTGGTTCAACACAACGTTCTGGAAAGGTCTACAAACCCCAGACTCACGAACCTTGCAAGCCAGTTTTCAATGTGCAAACCAAACAGCAAGACTGACGAAATCAAAGAAAATTCCCCGTAACTGTACCATGAACCATGTTAACTTGCCCACGTTCCCGTTCCATTCTTGTTCACAGACACATTCAACGTTCACATGGTTTACTGTATCCTGCTTTCATTTTACTTCTTATATGCCATGTTTCTATACCACTCCATGATCATTTTAACGGATGCGTAATATTTCACTAACTTGACACACAAATAATCGGAAATAATGTATCTACTGGAACACATAGGTTAAACATTTAATTTTTAAATTATCATTTTCTTATGGTGAATAAATTTGCAATGAACATTTGCAGGCACACAACTTTTTACTATTTTAAAGTAATTTTTAGGATGAAATTCCAGGACTTTCATAGGCACTAACGCTCCTTATGGCTCCTAGACTACCCTGCAAACCGCGTCTCCTAAGTCAGGGGACTGGTTCCCTAAGGCCACGCACTGACGTCTCACCTCCTTTGAAAGAGTTCTTTGATGTTCAGGTGAGGCTGATGTTCTCCCACGTCCAGCTGGGCGCCCTGTTATCTTAACTGTCCATCCTGACAATGCTCACTGATCATGCCTTCATCCTTCTTAATCAACTGTGTAAGTGCTTTACGCTGGCTCTCAGACATCAGAGCTGTACACACCATTCCTTCATTCTGTTCCTTCTTCTCATCTTAATTAGGCTACTATTTATTTTATACAAGCTATGACTTTTGATACAAGTATTTTTAATAAAACTGAATTAATTAATTTTCCTTTGTGATTTTATTATTAAGGCTTAGAAAGTTATCACTCTTTAAAGATCTGATCGTCAACCCTATTTTTTGCTAAATGGCTTTTAAAAATAGCCCATTATTCACCTGTTGTTTGGAGTACTTTGGAGCACGGTGTGTTTATTTAATGTCTCACTGTATCCATCTCTATGTATATAAGTGGTCTGATGATGTGCTGCCTAATTCTGTTGATCCCTCCCCGAATCGGCAGGAGGAGGGCACGCCTATTGTGGGACCCAGGGGAAAGCCCTGGCTTCCATTCAGGACGGTCAAGTCCTGAGGGAACCACGCGGTGGGCCTACCATCTTAGAAAACTCACTTGCTCCTCTGTGACTAAATTTCTTCATCCATAAAATGGGCAAAAGGTGTCTCTCTGACCCACCTCAGGGACCCCATTAACAGTGACAACTGAGGCAGGTAAGAGTGGAAGTACCCTGTGCCAAGGCTGCAACCTAAATGCCCTTCTCTCGTCACCCCTTTTCTTTCCACATCAGTCACCCTAAAGCTACGTGAGCTTCCTTTCCCAGACAGACACGTTCTGCTGCCTATGCAGGTAAATTTCCCTGACATGGAGGGATACAGATTTATCAGGGCCACTCTGATAAAGAGGGGAAGGACTATGGAAATAAACCCGAGATGAAAGCTTGAAAAGATAAGGAAGCTAAGAGAATCGAGCAACAGAAAATTATATGAATGAAAGCTGATTTTTAAAAATAGAAGGCACTAAAAAGGATCCAGAAGGAAAAGTCTAAGGAAAGGACTACTTTTTCTAAAAACTGATAAATATTTCCAGACAGTTATAAGGACACAGGAAAAACATTGTGCTGATGTGTAAGAATTATTAAGGCTGCATTAGCTAAAACCAGAGCAGAAAATCCAGTCACGGCGGCAGGCCACCTGCTGACTACCCAGGTGCTGAGAGGCCATGAAATCACTCTGACAGGAGAGGACTTAAACAGGTGAAAAGGAGAAAGTGGCATTTCAAATGAGGTGTCAATCAATGCTGACACAAGAATAAGGTGACCCTGCCATCTGGACAGGGTAGCGTCAAACGACAGAAGCTGTATCAGTGACTTGAACAAAAAAAATTTAACATGCAGAGCTGCATAACTAAAAAAAAGCAAACACTAAATTATCATGGAGATGGCAGGTGCAAGAAGTCACAGAATCAGATGAACCAAAAACAGGGGTTGGAATTTTTGAAACCCAGGCAAAGGGCTCTGTGCAGCTGAAATTCGGATCTCTGAGGGTGGGGTGCTGCTGCTGGTACTGAAGTTTCTAAGCTCCAAGTTGGGTCGCATGGGCTGGGACCCAGGGAGCTAAGAGGGAGCGCTAGCCAGCGGATGCCAGGGTCTCTACAAGTGTGGGACACGCCGAACTGGGATGGACCGGCTGCCCACTACAGGAAGGCACTTCCGGCCAGGAGGAAGCAGGTTGCTAGGGTGTCCCTCAAAGAAAGAGGAAGGCGGCAGGAAGCCTCAAGTCCATTCACCAGTCCCTTCAACGCCCCTTTAGGCAAGGCTCAACAGGGAGCGGGGTTCAGAGTCCAAACGGGGCGATGCTAGGGAACAGAATGACAGCGGGGATGGGAGATATGTTACATACAGGGGGATTAGCCAAATAAGTAAAAAGATTCAGGATAACGGGAGACAGGTTCCTCACTGTCTGATAGGGAGATACGAATAAGGGAAAAGAACAAACCCTACAGCATTGGATTAGAACTGGAGGCATGTGGACACAGAAAAGAACAGACATGAATGGGTGTC